TAACAAGGCGTCCCGCCTTAAGCCCACACAGAATGTTCCTGTTGCTACGCAGCGCGCGAGCCCCTTGGGCTGTGCAGCTGCGGATCCCCTGTTCCTGCTATCCTTAGCGCCTTTGCGCCTACCCTGCAAAGCTAAGAATCTGGAAACACAAGGAATGAAGCGAAGTTCTGCAAATCTTCCAACTTCTATCAAACTTGGCCGAAGTGTAGCGCGGCCTTCCCTAAGCCGACAGAGCCTCTATTTACAGTATGACTGGGTCGCTGGAACTCGTAGAAGCTTCCGGAAGGAGGCCCCGTGGAGAAGTTGCACAATAGACCAAGCAGTCTTAGCGCAGGTTCTCAATGAGGTATTGAGTTCCTTTGCCTAGTCACGTAACTTAGTGCGGAGTACTAGAGTCTTCTCCGCGAGGCCTTTTGTCTTCTAATTTCCAACGGTCGGTTAGACTCCGCCGATCTACGGTCTTGAGCTACTCTAAAATCATCGTGCGGCCTTCCGCAATAAGCACGTGGTTCCGGAAGGTTCCACGCGCTAAACCCTGAACTGCGGAGCCTGCACAACTTATCGAACCAAATTTACTTCGCGCCGCGGCTTAGCGCGCACTCCTGTCCTGCAGCGGCAAATGTCTGCATGCCACGTGTCGCTATCTTATACGCGCGCAGACCTGGTGGGGCTCCTGCGCAAGGCGGGAGCATTCAGAGAGCACAGCCAGCCTCCGAATGCATGAATGATGATGCACATTGCAGAGCTGCACATGCTGCAGAGCTGCACCTCCGTCATACATGATCATCTGGACTCTGCACTGCGTCGAGCTCGAAGCTCTAGCCTCTAGGCGCCTCTCACTCCTCAGCTCCACGCTGCCGTCATGGGGCCACCTTCTCAGCCCGGATCAGAAGCTCGCTCTGTGAGCGATCCCGCTTTCATGAATGTGGATGTTGCGATTGCGGGCGCGGGCTTGGGAGGGCTGGCGCTTGCGCTGGGTCTGAAGGAACGTGGCATCACAGCGCATGTGTTTGAGGCGGCGCCGGCCCCGAGGACTGACGGGGGCACCGTGATTGGGTTTTTTCCAAATGGTGGGGGCTGGCATCCTTTTTCTTTGCATGAGCTTAAATACTCATTTTCAGCTGCATTCTAGTTCTCAATCCCAGTAAAAGTCTCTGAAGGAGGAGAAAGTAGTCATTGCCCTAATGCAGGTAGTCCGGGCTGATAACTGCTGCTTATTCTAAATGCATCGAAACCAAGAAAGTACTTCTAGTCGCTCTGAAAGTATGCTGATTGAGTTGGGAAAAGGTGTTGCATCATTCATAAGCTTTCCATCGAATGAAGAGGACCGAGACGCACCACAAAACAGTTTGTTGTGATGCTAAGTCGGCTGAGAGCTTCTCGCAGCACGTGATGAAAATTGCTACCTCCTGTTTTTGGGACAGCAGCTCCCGAAGGGATCCCCCAACTGTGCCACCTTGAAGTTTGCTGGTTGGGTTTGTGCACAGCAGCCCCTTCAACAGAAATGACAAGAGACCTGAGTGGTCACAGCCCAAGGGAACGAGAATGCCCTATCAACCACCGAATGGGCTTTTGGAGATTTGAGATCGATCTGCAAGGACTTTGGAAGAAACTGACAACTCGGATCATGGAACCTCCTTCCGACCACTTTGACAGGGCCGCCCACTAAACGTTTTTCAAAATGCCCCTTCCCATTCCTCTTCACCTCTGGCTCCCTTTGTCCGATACAGGCCCTTTTCTATCAAGCAAATCCAGCTCATCTCCATAGTAGCGTCGACATTGCTGCTCCCAGTGTTTACAAGGGCAGCACATGCCCTTGATGGGGCCATAAGAGATTCCTCCTATTCAGAACATATGTCGAGCCAAAGAGCACTCCATGCTATCAGAATTTGCCGGCCCGGCTCATTTTCGCGCCCTGGAATGATCCCCTTGTGCATTCACAACCCGCATTCTCTGTGCTAAGAGCAATTGGAGTTCCTCGTTTCAGGCCAAACCGCGCTCAATGGCGTCAGTCCCGGGCTAACTGACCGCATCAAGGCGCGCGGCAACAGATGTCCGTCTTTGACGTCTATTCGGCTGTGCGACGGGGTCCTCGAAGAGGAGCTGAAGCGCGATAACCAAAGTGGGATAGCGATGGTTCCGTGGAAAGACTTCCAGGAGATTCTGGCGAGCAGCATACCGCCCGAGCAGATCCATTGCAACCATCGGCTGCAGAAGTTCACGCCGGTTGAGGTGAGACTTGGATCTGGATCCATAAGTGAAACTGTTCTCAAGAGGTCAGGCCTCCAGACCGGGTACGTTAATTCATGGCTGCTTACGTGAATCCAGTGATTGTGAGGATGTTGGACTGACTCATTCTGGTTGACTCTAAGAATAGCTGGATGAAAAGTCTGGAGAGCCGAGCTAGACGCCTGCAACATGGTTCTTCTGTTCAAGTGAAAGGGTCAGCTGAGCAGATCGCTCCAGGGTGGGTCAGAAGTTTGATCTTAGCTTTTGCATTCTGGACCCGCACAAAGCATGGTTTCAGAGAATCGAGCAGAGGCTAAAGAGCAGAAGTTCAATCTCAATTTGACACTCACAGTAGTGGTGAAGTAACAAGAATCAGTACCCTAAAGCGTCCTCCCTGCCAAATTTGCATTCTACAAGTCGGAGTCCTTCCAAAACTTCCTCTCCATCTGTCTGTTCGATCTTGGTCGACCACTGGCAGCTGTGTCCCTCGATCGAAACAAACCGAGTACCCAAGACCTCATTTCAACACACAGTCTCTGTGACCTTGCAAACTCGTGAAAAGTTTGACAACCCAGAGCGTAGGAACCATCCGATCACCGTGCCTAAACGGAAACTTGACTAGGGGCGGAAACTCAGCTGAAGGCTTCTCAACTCGTGTGCAGGGCGGAGTAGAAGCCGTCTTCGACATCATAGGCGATTCGGACGCCCGAGAAAACTACTCTGCGTCCAGCAACGCGTACGGTGGGGCTGCTATTGGGCAGCTCACAGTGCGGACGAAGCTGCTGGTTGGGGCGGACGGGATACGGTCCAACGTCCGGAAAGCCATGGGCGGTACGACAAACGGTCCCGAATAGTTCTTTGAACGTCACTCTTGGTCCGTCTTTTGTTTCGTCAGCTCGTTTTTTAGCCGCTTGTCAGACCAGGTCTGTGTTCGCTTTACCATCATCAACTTGTTCCTTTTGTCCACTTTAGATCTGCGCTCAGTTTTCTGGAATCTGCAAGGAGGCTCCGAATCCGCTGACAAACAGTCCACAGGGAATTGGCTATACTTCTGCGACTGGCTGGCGTTGGGTTGCTTAATCCTTATTTGCAACTTCCCTTTGAAAACATTCATTCTTGTCCAAAAGGCTTGAGTCGTGCTCGCTCTCATTGTCGCGAGCCTTCTGCTGATCTGTCCTATGATTGTCTCAGCTCGATGATTTGCCCACTTCGTATTTCTCGCCAAATAATACCATTTCATGCAATCAGATTCTATCCAGCAACTCCGTCAGCCATCGACCGTTTGAAAGCTAACGCTCTCAGAGTTTCTTCAAGATCTTCTAACGACTTTACGGATTCACCTCTCCGAAGTCATCGCCTCAATCCAGCCCCTCCCATCTGACGTCATCTCTCGTCTCGTGACGTCATCAGGCAAGGCCCCCCCAGTATCTCGGCAACCTGCACTGGAACCTCTTGAAAGTATTGTCCTCAACCAGCACGCTTCCATCTCACGTCATCTTTGTCACGTGACGTCATCAGGCAAGCCCCCCCAGTATCTCGGCGACCTGCACTGGAACCTGCTGGTGCACGACCCCGACGAGACGATGGTGCCGATCAAGGACGAGTCGCACATGCGCTTCGCGGACGAGAAGGCGGGCATCGTAGGCTTCCTTTCAGATGCCGGTAAGACACTCAGAATTCCCGGCGATTCAGGGTGTTCGAAATATTAGGGTAGAGGGTGGACCAGTCGCACATGCGCTTTGCGGACGAGGAGGCGGGCATCGTGGGCTTCCTTTCGGACGCAGGTAAGAGCTAATTTGAGGTTTCAAAGTCTCAGAATTCAGGGTCTGGAGATTTAATGCTCACCGATCTCCGGGTGTCAGAATTTGAGGATTATCGAAACGCACTTCCGCTTTGCGGACGGCAAGGTGGGCATCGTGGGCTTCCTTTCGGATGCGAGTGAGGCTGTTGTAGATTATTAGAGGGTTACGGGTTACGGGTTTAGGTTAGAATTTCAGGTTGGACAATCGCACATGCGCTTTGTGGACGAGAAGGTGGGCATTGTGGGCTTCCTTTCGGACGCAGGTAAGGCTGTGTAGGGTTTACAGGGTTACGGGTTTTGGATTCAGATTAGGATTCCAAGGTGGACGAATCGCACATGCGCTTTGCGGACGACAAGGCGGGCATCGTGGGTTTCCTGTCGGATGCGGGTAAGAGCTGTTTTCAGGGTTCAGAATCTCAGGAATCAGGATCAAGAGAATTTCAATCCCAGTTTTAGTGTTTGAGGATGGACGAGTCACACCTCCGCTTCGTTGACGACCAGGCGGGCATCTTCTTCTGGACGCGGGTAAGAGGGTTTGGGTTAATGGATGTCAAGACTTTAGGGTTTAGGTCTCGAGGATGTGGGTTTGACAGTGGACGAGACGCTCATTTGCTGTGCAGACGACAAGGCGGGTAAGCTAAGCTTGTTTTTGGGATGCGGGTGAGAGCTCTTTCTTTGCCTCCTTCTCGGCGTTACATGTGATCGTTTCGGCCGAAACCCTTACCAGTTTGACCCCATTAACCGTACCAAGCGCGACTAACCCACTGCCATCGACTCGCCACTCAGATACAGAGCTGATATCAATTCCCTACCTATTCTGACCATTGACACTACCAGACGGCAAGATATCTTGATTCTTCCCTGCAAGGTGCTTGAGTCGATCAGACTCTCGATGATTAGAGTGACGTGCTCGCAAGCCGTTGTCTTTCATTGGTTGTTTGTGATTATACTTTTCGTCCGTCCTGCCCGGTCCCTTGTTTCGAACCTTCCAGGGACTGCTCTGCTTCGCAACGTTGTCTCACAAGACTGGTGTGCCCTATTTTGGAAGATTTAAATTCATACAAGCAAAGCCGAGAAAATAATCTTGACTATGTCATTCAGTCTGCGGCCACACGCGCGTGGGTAACATGTATTGCGCGCGGCTCGTCTCTGGATAGTACTTATACCGCGACATCGAAAAAATGTCAACGCGCTCGAGCAGCCGCTGGGTTAACGGAGTCCGATGTCCGATATTGGGTTTGCCCGGCCGATATAAAAAACGTCCCTTATAGGGCGCACCGTCTTACTTTCTTAGACACGTGGATACATCAATTACTTGGGGATTAAACACGCCTGTTCCAAGGGCTTGTCAGTTTCCAGTTTCAGCCACAAGTGCCCAATGCAAAGTGCAAGCCGACCTGATCGAACAGTTTCCAGCTCCGTGAGTGCTGCTTTCCTTGCGAGAGGCAGAGGTTTGGCCAGACTCGAAAACTCATTGCCAGAATCCAATCCTTGAAAGAGTACAGTGTTCAATCTCACACGAAACCGTGGTGGAGTGTGACCGCAATCAGATGGACACCTTTCTGTTTCCGTTCCCCCAGGTCACAAATGGCGATTCTTGAGCGTCAGGAAAGCAGACCCCGACGGGAAGATCGTCGCGGGCTACGGGCCGGAGTTTGGGGGCTTGGGCAAGCCGGGTGTGAAGGAGAGAGCGATTGGAGCGCTGCCTGGCAGTGACAACTGGTGAGGAGAAGTCCGAGACCCTTCTCTAACATGAGCACCTAGCTATATTCTGAGAGCTTCTTGGAAGGCGAGGGAGCTCACTTGTTTGTGATTATCTCGTTTTTGAGAGACGCTGCGCTTGAAGCTTTTGAGGTCCGGAATTGCGAAGCTTGACAAGCGAGCGGCAAGCTGCGGGCCGGAATCGGAGCGCCTTCTAGGTGCAGAACTGCCGATGGCATTTCTGAGACGGCGATAAACTCGTAAGAATCTGTGCGGAATCAAAGCGACCTCAGAATTTCGCGGATCGTAGACCTCAAAAGAAGCTTGGATCTTCGAACATGGCATCCATCAGAATACACAATCAATTAAACCCGGTCCCAATCGCGGACCCAGGTCGCTGAGCACATTGGAGCTTTGTGACTACACTCCCACTTTGGAGGCACCCTTCCTGTCTGCACTCCACGCATAGGTCGGTTTGGCCGCAACGGGCAAGTTAACGCCCAAACAATGGGCAGGGAAAATAGATCTGAAAATGGATTACTTGCAGGTATGATGTTGTGCGGGAGACGCTGCGAAACGTGGCTGAGAGCGACATCTTCGAGCGGAGAATAATGGACAACGTGGCGCTGGACACGTGGGTCGCTGCGGATGGGCACGTGGTCCTCATAGGCGATGGTCAGTCTCCTGGTTTTCTCCATAAGCGACCCTCCTTCTGGAAGCAATCACATTTGGTTGCTTAGCGGCTCTCTTGAGTGCGCACCTTGCGCTCTCGCTTATGTCTAACTTTTCTCCGTGCCTCCCTTGCTCCGGCTGTTCACCACGCTAGAAGGTTGTTGTCTCATCCCTCCGTTCTCGTCGTCAAGTGTTCCTTTAATATATGTAACTTTGCTTCCTCTCAGCCTTGCTTCTTTTGGGCTCGAGGGCCAGACCAGAATATTCACCTACTCGTGATTCCCGCTTTTGCGTTTGCTCTGATTTCGTTTCTTTCTGAATGGCTCTCCCCTTTCTGAATAGCTCTCCCTTCTGGATTGAGTTACTAGAATCAGTGTTTGTCTTGTACGGCTTTGCGAACCCAGTTCCGGAATCTCGGCCATGAATGAGTCCAATCAGATGTGGTGCTTGTCCAGCTTCTGATCCCCCTTCTCAAAGGTTTTTCCCGCTCACCAAAATTGTGCCCTCGTCTCTTTCCATTGCGTCCGCTCCTTCCCGTCTCTTGTCCACCTTCCAATGCCAATGTCGGACGTACGAAGAACGATGTCTGGCGATGATTCTTGCAGCTGCCCTGCTATGCACGTAGTCCGCTCTCTACTGTCGTTTTCTCTTCCTCCAATGCCAATATCGGACGCACGAAAGGCAAAACTCGACCAGATTCGACTAGATTCTTTGCAGATGCCTATTCTATGCACCCAATCGGCCCTCTACCGTTCTTTTTCCTCTTCCTCCGATGCCAACCCGGACGCACGAAGAGCCTAATCCGACCAAATCTGGCTAACGTTTTGGCAGCTGCCCATTCTATGCATCCAATCCGTCTCTGTCGCCAGTTTTTTTTGGTCTGTAACCAAACCCGCCAATCATTGCTGGCATCACCATAGTAATATCACCAAAAATCATATGCTCCCTTCGAGGCCTCCAATGCCAAGATCGGACGCACGAAGAGCAGAATCCGACCAGATCCGATCACGTCTTTGCAGCTGCCCATGCTATGCACCCAATCGTCGGCCAGGGCGCCATGCAGACCTTTGAAGACGCGCATCAGTTGGCAGAGCTGCTGAAAAAGGAGGCGGGGCCCGACTTTTCGACAGACGGCGTTGCCACGGCGGTGCACAGGTAAGCTCCGCAGCAGGCTACTTTGATTTTTCCGCGTCCTTTTCACACTGAGAAGAGCGTCATATGACGCGCTTGCATATGCTGGCAGAGCGATCAGTTGAGTGTGTCATTCATAAGTGGTCAAATGAGAAGTTCCTTGTAAGTTTGACGACGCGATTCTTATTTTAAGCCGCTCGTAGGAGGCTTCCACGTTGCATGCCTCCAACGCAGACAGCCCTGGAGGCATGCAGCTTTTCTGATGCTTGCCAGGGTACTTGTCGGCCTTTTCGCATGACAAACGCCGTTCCGCTGCATGATTCCGCTCCCCTAGAGAGCTCCGCTGCGATCTCAGTTCCCCTCTTATAATACGCTCCGTGCTTTTGGATATATTCCGTTCCGCTGATGGGCTCCGTTCCGCTAAGCGGAGTCCGCGTCACTGACTCGTTTGTTCTGCTCCCAGGTTCCATTCCGTTGACGGTACAACCTGGTCGTTGCTGTTCCGCTGACGGGCCTTATATTCCGTCTTGCAGGTTCGAGAAGGTGAAGAAGCGACGGGCGGAGCTGGTCCAGGCGTTCTCCCGCGAGGCCTCGAGCCTTCCGAAGGAGGTGACGGTTCCGGCGGAATACCAGGACCTGAGCGGACCGGAAAAGCTGCAGCGGTTCTCGCAGCTCAACACATGGATGCAACGATACCCGGATGTTTTGGGAGGGGATCCGGACTCCGTCTACTGGAAACCACTAGAAAGTTGACCACCTTGTTTCATAGACCTGGATTTACGGCTTTGCGCGATCCGAGTTGGATGTGCGACTTCAAACTGGTGGATGTAAAGAGACTCTCTTGCTACGTGGCGGCTCATTCATCTGCCTTTTAGATATGGCAGACTGTATTAAACTAGAGCGATGTCTGCCGTTGATACGACAAACGATACAGGGAACAGCTAAAGGCCGCCTTCTTGCGGTGCGTTGATAGGAAGGGAATGGGACCGGCTTTCACAACGAGCAGATATGACGGCTAGCCTTAGAGTGCAGTTGTTGAATCGTACTTTCAGTGTTAAGCCTGTAACGAATTGTTCGTAAAAGCTTTTGATTTAGGTCCTTATCTGGGACACTGTATCATAGCACGACGATAACGATAGCTCGAGAGCGGAGAGAACGTGCAGTATTGGACTTGAGCTAGTTGTACCGGAGTCCCGCTTTTTTGCAATTAGGGCCTTTCGGCCTTGTCCAACGGAGGACGACTAGCTACAGCTGCCCCTTCCAAAGCTTCGTTTGAAAGTCTGCAGCAAAATGCAATGACTGTCGAAGTCCGGAAGTAACTGAACAAGCGCAGCTAGATCATGGCGGCTTTCACGTAAATGCATTCCATTGCCATGCCGCTGCATCAAGCGTTCAGAAATTGCATGTATGCAAACGTTAATTGTGTAGTACGTCCGTCGATAATATGCGTCATGCAGCTGTAATATTGTGGTCATACGCTATCGACATAGCTAGAGTAGCCTGGATCGAGAGGGTTTTCCTTCAACGTCGCGTGCTGCATGTGGTACTACCCGATTGCTGCTCTTACGATTAAGTCAAATTTTGCCGAGCACAGTAGTCCGACCCATGCATGAACTGAACATGAAACACTCTCACTCAAGGACTCGATCCGACGTATACGCCGTACGTATAGCCACCTTCAGGCCATCCGACGGCTTCTCATCATGGCATGTGGCACAAACGTCTTGGATCGTTGTTCTAGTAAAAGACTTAATAGTTAGTGCATGTTGTTATCACTTCAGAGTATTTCAATGTCCGACACGTACATCGAGCGCGGCGCGGGTGCTCAGGCTTTCTAAATAAGTTCGGGCCTGAAGATTCCTATGGGGTGTTTCTAGAAATCATGTCGATCTGTTCTTTGTCAGCCTCACAGGTCGCATTCGGAGATCCCATGCAATTGCTACCTCAAGCATAAACCACAGGGAGACCGTGCAGAATTTGCATGATCGGTGATCACGGAAAATGCATCATAATCAGTCCACTACAGCTCTATACACAGCAACCGTCATATTTATACTCCGTGCAGAGTGCACCGGGGTGGCTTGCACGACCACCAGACGACCCGGTGGAAAAGCGTCTAAAGTAAGACAGTAGAAGCTTCCCTATACCTAGGTGTGACCTTATCAGTTCAGTTGCTGACAGACGACTTTAGCTATGTATTAAACTGAGATCTGACCCCACAGAGTCCAAACAAACAGAGACCCACAATTTCAATGAGAATGTCTACCAGTACTAGTAACTAACAGTGCGTGCCTCAACTATACGGTGTATGGAGCCGCGAAGAGATGTCTATGTGATTTGAGACATGGCTGCGTGAAGTTACAATCTCGTGGGCCTTGCATTGTCTTAGGCGCCGCTACTTAAGGCCTACTCTGCGCAAACATTCTGAACCGGAACGATGGTTCCAGTAAGCACGCCCAGTCTCTGGAAGCCAACGGGATCTCTGTACAGTACTCAGAAGTTATGTTCCAGCCTATCAAGTGCAGCTCGCACGAATAACTGGTTCCACTGTTTGACAACGCAGCTAGAGCGGTAGCTCGTGACGCATGATATGCGCAGCGCTCGTCAATACAAGTGGCTCTTGTAGTTGCCACGTGGCACGCCGCTCGATGGGTCTCACGTCAGGAAGTGCGACGTGTTGTGGCCTAGCATGTCCTCCTCTCTGAATGTAGCGACGAATGTGGTGGCGCCACGTAGCACCAGGTTCTCAACGATGTAAAGCTGGTACTCGTTGCGGATTACTGGTCGGAGAATGGCGCTGAAATTGAACGGCTGGAACACCTGGCGGTGGTTATTGTGAACGATTAGCGAAGCGTGACCAGAGAGAGCGAGGACTTTGACGATGGCGCGACGACTGCCGTGATGATGCTGGAACGCTGCCCTCTTCTAAAGGGTTCAAATTCTGTAAGAAAGGCTATTTCAAATACCGTGAGATGCAAACATGACGCGTGGTGCGGAAAGGGAAGAGCAGAGTGTACTCGGTTAAAGAAAAACAAATCAGGCAGTACGTGCCGCACCCGATCGAGAAACCAGGCGCCGCCACGCCTTAGCTAGAAGGGGTTTACTTTCGGTCTTTGTAGGAGTTAATAGGGCCGCTCATAACGCCAGAAAGTTAAAAACTTTCAGGGCAGTCTCCGTTGCTTTGGCACGATACTAATTGCGATTGAAGCGCTCGTTAAAAAAGCTCATACGCAGCGTGCACAGTTGCGCGGAGACAAGCGGATCCTGGTGCGTGGTAAGATATTCGACTAAAAGGCTCGCAGTCGACCCTTCAGTACAATTACCCCTGAAGAAAGCATCGAAAACGCGGAAACCTACTCTCTGGTATGCCGAAGCTTTCGGCTGATGCGGATAAGCATCTTTGCTCTTCTGGTGTCTTTCATCGAAATCAGTTGACAAACCACCACGAAACACGAATTCAAATCTCGTCACATACAGCAGCTGCAGGCTTGATAATTTCTTATTGGGAAGACGAGATTGATGGTTTGACAAAAGCCCGCAGATGGAGATTTTTAGGCGGCTGAGCCGACCAGGTGTGATGAGAAGGGCGCTTTGTCGATTTGGCACTAAAACTTCGATCGTGGAGAACGGATCCGCGGAACCGGAAGCCTCCCCCGATGAGCAGCCCCGACTTGCGCAGACATGATCCGTCTGGTGATGTAAGCACGTCGTCAGCACACATCTGCCGCACATGCTTGTCGGAGGTTACAAGCCGACGGGAGCCGTGACATCAGCGCTGACGTCACCTCACCTTGAAGTCCCGCCGCAGCTCCTCGAAAAAGCTCTGGTTCGCCTCGTTGCTCGCCACGTAGACGCTCCTGCCGGCCGGGATCCATTTGGACAGCCGGGCCCGGATTGCGGACGGTGACGTGTCACGCGCCAAGTGCGGCCAATGCCTGGAGAAAAGGGCCGACCAGATTGACTTGAAGTAGAGGATGTCAATACCATTCACGCTTGGTTCAAAGCGGGTGCCTGGCGGAACTTTGGCAGGTATCCTTTGGCTATGTTTATTCCCATTATATCTAGTCATCATGTCAGCGACTCGCCTCGCGCTGGCCCCCCGATGCTCAAGCGGCTTCGGCTCATCTGACAGAACCCCTCCAGGACTTCTCATCTAATAGATCCATTCGTCGACCGAAGTACCAAGGGAACGTCAAAGAAATTGAAGTGATCTCCTCCGCTTCAATCAAGCATGAAACAAAAACACCGGCCTTCGTCCTGAAACGTACTGTACCTCTTGCCATCAAGCAGACTGGCTACTTCACTCTCAACACTCTCGCCCACAAACTTAGAGGTCCACTGATATTTTGGCAAACCTTGCAATCAGCGTCGCAGGATGACATTTCCGTTCCCTTCCGTTCGATACGGGAAGCTCCAGACTCTGTGGGCTTCTCAGGCAGGAGCGATTTAAAACATCCGGAGGCTCTTTCCGTTTATCCTTGTGATGCATTTTATGGGGGGTCACCTTACCGACTCGGATACCCAGTCAGCTTGTCCCCCCTTCGTACGTGCACCGCATCATAGTCCCCCATCGCAGCTTGCATTTCCCGCGCCGCTTTGCGCAACGGCTCCGCAAAGCATACCGGAAACAATTGTGAGTGCCTGCGAAGGCAAAGGGGCGGTCGTTTTAGGAGAGCGCCAAGATTGTTTGACTTATCCGGCTGGATGCAGATCGTCCCAGTCCGCAATGTATTAATTTTGTGACCTGATGTGTATGGAGCCACTCTGAGCCTGATGGACTCTGAGCCACATCCTCAAAAAAGACTCTTATCTATGCATCCAATTGCTTTCGTGGAGAAGCTCGCGATGAAACAGCAACAGCGGAAAGAAAGGGAGTCACGACTGTCTTGTTATCAGCTCTATGTTGATGGAAACATCATGCAAAACTGCAGGTGCCGTAGTAAGACCCATTATAATGACTTTCTTATCAGGCGTATTACATTTGCGCCTGGCAACAGATCCTTTCAATGCTGGCAAGTCCAATGCAAGGTCACCAGATGGACTATTCAGATGTCCCCAAATAGGCGATGGTTGATTCATCCAACTCACGAGACTCTCCCTGTATTTCCACCACAAGGAGAGGACGCTTCTTCACAGATCGTCACAAATAAACTTCTCGCAAGGACTGCTGTTGCACTCACCAGATGCGCTTTTCGTAGCTCCCCTGTTTGCACACCTTGAACCAGGGAAAGTGGACGCCACTTGGACGTGTCCGCACCAGCAGCTCGGACACATTCCATGGCGCCACGTCCGCAAAACTCACTCCACCGTCAATAACGCAAACAGAACCGGAGGAGTGTCTCTTCTTATCTGAAATTTTAGATCCCCCGCCTTTGTTTTCGTCTGGAAACACGATCTTATTAGGAGCCTCGGACTCGCTTGGTACTTGAAGTTCTTGAAGAACCCCTTCGATTGGACTCACCTTTTCCTTGTTTCTTGTTGGTCTCAACTCGCTGCCAGATAAGTTGAAGCATCTTCCTACATCGGTCGCACTCTGAGCTTCCCATCGATGTAAGAAGCCACGAACTTCCGCTGATTTGTTCAAGACGACTGGGACAAGCGTGTTCAAACAGCCCACGTCTATCAGACTTTCAAGCTCCGCCCAGCTGTGAGAAGAGGTTGCTTCTGTAGCAGAACTTCTGCCCCCATCTTGCACCTCGATTTCATCTCCGAGCTGTGGAAGCCCCCTGTGCCGTCTGCTGATGCACATGTGCGACGGCAAAATGAAGGTGCGATTGGTTGCGAGGGCCTCGTTCAGAGCGCACACGAGGCTGACCGTCTGATGGTTGAAGCCGGAACAGACGGCGTTCGGGTGGTCGATCTCTGGGCCCCAGTACAGAAATCGGGGGCTCAGGTGGGCCTTTGAATCTCCTGAAGGGAAGTGGGTTAGCGGTGCACGTTTTACGGAACGGTTGTTGGTTAGCGTCTCTTTTGCGGCTGATCCAACAACAGGAACTGTGTCAGTGCCATTATGCATCAAACTCAAGCTGCTCGATGTGTTTCCGTTGAAAGCTAGTGAAGACGCCTCTGGGTGGGAGCCTGTTTCTGAAAGCTTGCCACTCCTCCATCTGTTTATCAGTTGTGCGTCTTGGCTGCTGTCGACAAGTGCGTGGTCTTCTCGTCGGACGTCCAAAATGGGCGCATTGCTCTGGATGCCTGCCAAGTCTCTGAAGTGATCAAGTCCGTACTTGCTCAATGCCAGCTTTGCTCCTGACAGCAGGTTAACGTGGCCAAATGGAGAACCATAGCTGGAGTAGAAAGCCAAAAGGGATAATGTGCATAGCACAAAGCAACACAAGATGACCAGCGCCTTCCGGAAGCTGAAGGGCCCCATCACCCTGCGGTTCTAGGCTCTTACTCCTAAAGCGCCAGGCTCGGGGGTTTGAGCAAAGACGCCCATTGCGAGCCTTTGTGCAGCTACAGAGACGTCGCAGCAGCCGTCGCAGCTCCACAACAAGCGGCCATTGAAAGCAGAGGAGCGCAGGCAGGTGGTGCCAGCTGTTGCGCACCCTGCACTCATCAGTCTTAGATCCCCTCCTCAGCAAACTTGTAAGGTCTAGCTCTCTCAGGAAGAGCTTCTGAGGCCATGATCAGCTAAGGGCCAGCAGCATTCTTCTGAGATCAGTGCAAGGGCGCTCAGTTCCTCTCTCCTGTGAGCTCCTTAAAAATCACACCAACAAGCGCCGCCTTGAATCAAGCTTTTACTTCGAGTGCTGAGCTAGAGAGCACGACTTGCAAATGTGGCAAAGCCTTTCTCTTCCTCACGGGCCTCACCTACTGAGCTTCTGTAGTCCTGCTTGACTTCGGGTATAAGCACCATTGGCACATAGCCGGCTTGTGTGGCCCTGAACGCCCCCCTTGGGCGCCTGCCTATCTAGGACCGTCCGACCACAGTGCATGCAGTTCGACTTAGTGTACAGTGTATGTATAGTAGAAGATAGTCTTCGAAATTCTGGTAACGCTAAATGTACCCGATCGACTGGCGTTACGAACTCGCGGATTTGTAAAGTGTAACGCAGTCACCCTTACCGGTTTAGCATTACAGTTCGATTCCTGGCGACACATTTCAACTTTCCAGTCGACCTTACAAAGCTCAAAGGTAACTTTGAAATCGCCCGCAAACCCCCTACCTGGGTACATGGCATACGCCACTGCACGCTTTTGAGGGGGCTCCAAATCGCGCTTTTGTACTCTGAAAAAGTCGGAGAGCTTTGTGGGTCGCAATGCACAACGCTCACAAACCGTCAGATTTCAAATATGGACGGCAGAAATCACATGCTCTGCAAGCTGCAGTTAGTAGCTGGTCAAGAGAAACCCAATTCGTTTAACCGCAGTTCTTGAGAAATTGTACCCCAGCTCCACGCAAAACTTCCAGGAAGAGCCTTTCGGCATGTACACGTGGGGCAGGTCATTAAATAGGCAGGCAAATGATTAGCTGAGGTGGTAATAAGCACCAGCCAGTCGCGATGATCCTTCCATCAAACCAAGACACAGCCGCATGCACCGGCTTTCACACCTTGGTCACAAACAGAAAATGTTAAAAGCCTCTCGCAGTGCAGTGAGCAACATACCACCCCTTTGTCACGCAAATTCACACCGCTAACGCAAACACCTATTTCCGCGCTTCTTGGTAACGCTATGCGGCCCTCGCCTGAGCGACCCCACTGCATGCCAAGCCATCATACCGTATACCTACTCGCGCGGCTGGTCATCAGTCAACGCCGAACGGCCTCTAGGTATGTACGTATTACCGGACCTGACCTTAATTGTTTCGCTCGTGTCCAATCGCCGGGAGGTGCCGTCTTTTGGGCCGGCCCCTCCTCTAGAGGATTGGAGCAAGTCGGAGGCCCAGCCCGGGCCGGCCCGGAAGATCGCCGTTTGTCCCCTTTATTCGATCAGACTGTCGGGTAGCCCAGCAGGGTTAAAGTAACAGAGTGCATAATGCACATTCATATCGGATGTGACGAGGCAGTGCACCGTGCAATCCTAGCGACGTGCCTACTACTCACAAGCGGCCCTCCGTTTACCGTATGTGCTTCAAAGCTAGCGGTTCATAGCTTCAAGACGTCTTCGATCATCAGTGGGCTTATAAGGCCGTATACACTCTCGACACTGAATCGTAAGGTAGCTCGAAATCTCTCGACAATCACTTTCTTACTCGCTTGGTCAAAGACATCGGGCGCTACATCTCCAAAAGTTCCCATGAACGCCTCCAACATTCGGTGGGCTGACATTGACTCTTACATGGTATGATGGGAACGCGCAACTTCACGGATGCCAATGTTACGGACCTCACCACTAACAGATACAAAACAAACTCTGTCACATCAACGAGATATGCGATGGATACACTTGTGAAGGAGCGAGGGAACGTCTTGCAAACTTGCCCTCCAAACTGAAGAGATTAAACTTGGAATCAAGCGCTTCTTTGTCTCTCCATGTTCAGGTATGCAGATTCTTACTTACGAGGTACACACAGCATTGATGCACCAAGTTTTGAAAACTCCACGCGTCAACAAAGTCCTTTCAACACATAACCAACCTTCAGGTAGCAGGTCCGAAACGGGCTCACCTTCCTGCTTGAATATCCTCATCTCTGATAAGCAAACCGCAGATCGGAATCTCACAATCAAACGCCAACTCCTCAGCATACCTAATACCCATGGCTAATCCACCTTTTGCACTTTTTTACCTGAATCTTTGACAAACAAATGATAGGGATAATACACCTCCTACTCCACCAACTTTAACGGGTTTGCAACTCCAACATTTCGCTACTCCCACGTTTTGCCACAACTCACAGCTCCAAGTCTTCGTATTTTCTCGGCCTCCCGGGTCGCCGCTTGCCTGGTGACGTCATCGGGCTTGTCACCGGAGCTTTCGAGGGCGTCTTGGCTGGCGGCGGCGAGGCAATGCTCTTTCTTGGTCTGCGGACATGAAATTCGTGCTTAATTTTCACCTCGACAAGGAATCTTCGAAACATCCTACCAACGCTTCTTCCGCATATTTCCAAATTTACAGCGGTGCAGTAGCATTTGTTGAACGAACTTCAGCTTCAGAGAGGCCATTGAGTGCCCGAACTAAGACATGTTATCTTCCCGACGCTTCTTCCGCGACTTCGTGGATTTAGAGCAGTGCAGTGCCAGCCTTCTTCGAGCTACTGAAGTCTCTCCAGAGCAACCCTTACCTTGATGCGACCACAAAGACTTAGCACAGTCTGCAAGAAGGGTTCAAAAAGGCTGTCTTCCACTCCACGTCGAAACAGTAACTAGACTGTCGCCAGATTGAAGCCATTTCGCCCAAGTTCTCACCTGCCGCGTCTCCTGGGTGACGTCAGCTCCCTCTCGTCAGCAGGCTCCACTTTCACCGCCTTCATCTCCACCTTGACGACCTCCTCAACTATTGCTTCGCCCTTGGTCGCATCCTGGAGATAAAGCCGCGAATGCTGCATGTTACTTAACTTCGAAACATTCCTCCGTGTTGTAAAGTGACAATTCTAGCTCTAACGCAGCTTTCACCAGTTGACGGTTCGCGACCATAGCGGAAGAGCTGGATGAAGGTGTCGCAGTCATCCACTGACCGAAGACTTGCAGACGTCGAACTCCATCACTTTGCACTTTTGTTTCCCAGTTGCACAACATGTCAGGCACTAAAGGTTTGTCGCAAAGCGTCAAAAGACAACCGAGAGCCTTGTCAACGCGAGAAACAGCTTGAAGCGCCAGAAACACGGCAGAACAACCGAACAACGTCAAACTTTATCCACAGACTTTGATAGCACTCCTGTTTCCCGCTTGCATAACATAACAGGCACTATGAGTTCGTCGCAAAGTGTCATAAGATGTTCGAGCGCCTTGTTAGTACAACAAGAGGCCGCCTAGAAGCTGCAGGAAGACGGCGAAACAACCGAAGGGAAAAGGTAACGGCTTGCTGCAGGCCAGATCGTTACGACAGGAAACCAACCATCGGGCTCAATCTTTCACAGCCAAAAAGGCTCGAGGTTTTAGCAGAACCTTCACTCCTTCTGACTGCTTCCTGCCGCTATTCCTCGACCTGGAAACACAATCTGTTCACTCCGGAAGGATGCGTGACCGACCATCGTATTTCACAATTAAGCATAGTATAACTCGTCTGAAGTAACGTGAATCGACTAACAAAAGGGGGTCTAACGCAATGGAGCCTCGCCGAAGAGACGAGAACGGTCGCCCGTTCTTGTACCGAAGGACAAAAAAAGACAAGGGCAGCCTTTTCACTGTAAGACATGGATTCAAGGGACGGAGAAGGCAGTCAAAACGAAGTAAGCGATGAGACCGCGGCACTTCTGAAGCAATGGAACGTCTTCAAAGAGAAGCACCAGGCAGGCGAATTTGCTGAGGCAAAATGAATTCAGAATCACTGGAGCAATCAAAAGGATTTGTAGGGTGGAGGGAAGAAAATGGCAGCCAGAACGGACTGAAAAACGAGATCGGAACCAGCGAAATAAGAGCGAATCACAAAGCAGGAAACCGAATCCTCACCCCTTTCGCTGCCTTCTTCTCCCCGTCGACCTTCTTCCTGGCGCGCCCCTTCCTCAGCGGCGACGCTACCAGCCCCAGATCCTCCGAGAACGTCAGTTCCTCCCCCGCTTTCGTCCGGCTCCGCAGCCCCCCGACGGGCCCCACCGACTGGTCCTCGTTCAAGAACACGACCTCGCTCGCGGTATCCTCAATTTCGTTTCCGGACGGCGACGCTTCCAGCGTCTCCTGGTAGTGCTTTGCGTACGTCGTGAGTTTCCAGAAGAGTGCGAAGGCGGCCGCGAAGCCGAGCGTCGGGAGGGCGTACTTGGCCCACGATTGGCTGTTCTTCAGGTCGGTTGCCGAGAGGCCCTGTTCGGCGAGGTAGCCTGCGGGATTGGTAGCAAATGTGGGCGGGGACGAGATTTACAGGGCCTTTTGAGATTGTAGGGATGTACACAGATGAAGGCGTCCCTGTCACGGACTGCCCACGCGAGGTTGTACTTTCTACTGAAGTTGAGTTAGAGAGTTGGAGGGGAGAGCCTGGACAACAGAGCCTACTTGGTCAGCACTGGGTGACCAAGTAGAACCAGGAAGTAGAGCCTTTAGCGAAATCGTACTCCTTTCCCAAGAAGAGGAACACAGCCCCAAACAAGACAGCTGCTGATCGAAGCAGTCAAATATCCCTCAGCGAGATGAGTACTTTCAAGCTTGTAGATCCCAGACGAAACTTGTTTGAGGATCGAAAGTCGTGGAAGCTCCTGATCCTTGTTACCTCCGAACCAGCATCGTAGAACATTTAGATACCTTAGTCGCACAAACAGAACCTTCTCGTGAGGCTCTCCCTGAAGTGAAAACTGCTCGAGAACATATGCAGTTCCACTCAATGTACAGCAATATTCAAAGATACCCAACCCTCTCTGCTTCTGGACGCCATCTACTCCCAGCCAGACCTTATGTCATGAGCAGGGTGCACTGCAGGAACGCTGTTCAAATCTTTGTCAAGGCTGGAAGCCATGATGAAAACCAAACAAAGCTCACCGGCGTACGTGTTGAGCAAGATGAAGGGCATCGTTCCCACGCAACTCGCAAGGATATAGTCAGGGAAGAAGGGCACATCGACGGCGGCCAGGCCGTAGTTGTTGACCCAACTAGGTATAGGGGAAAGGCGTGCGAGCAGAACGAACCACCAGCCGTCACGCCTGACACCGTGGACCACAACCTGGAACTTGGGGTACGAGTGGGCATATGCCTTCACGTGATCACGCAGAAGGGTCCTGCAGGGGGGGGAAGTTTGGTAGTGCAGTGAGTTTCTAACGAGACAAAAGCGACCGGGCAGACTCAAGAAAAATCAGAGTGGATTTCGGGATTATTCTGCTGGAATCTGTTGACAGTATGAGGAAGAGCATACGTGCGTGATTGTGCAGCATGATCCTCTTGAAGGGTAGTTGCAAGACTCTGTCGCTGATAGGTTCACCGGTAGATCAATCGGCAAAGTCACTTTTTTTTAATGGACTATTCTCGTTGGCAGTGACTAAGAGGTTTTGCAACTGAGAAGCTATGTTTGTGTCATTGAATTGTACCACGTGTCAGCGCCTTGCTGAGGTGCGATTGCCTGGCTTGCTTTGCAGTGAGCTGTTGCAAGGGGCTTGAGTTGCAGTGGCTTGATCGGGTAATCCTTTGCTTCAACCAATGTAGCATCAGGTTGCAGACTGATTGCCTTTAAATGAATGAGCCCCGAGTATTTGAGCCTCTCTGTGCTTTCTAAGTGGTCGTACAGACTAGCGCCTCTAGCCTTGTTCATTCAAAGCCTTCCTTTGCACAGTGCAAGTTCCCTGATAACCTCTGGGCGCCCTTAAGATACAAAACAAGAGCTTTACAAGCGCCCTGCGAATGTGAGGTGACAAGAGGAGAGTGCCGGTGGCGGCTCCCACGTCTCTGTATCCTGAGGTCTGATTCACAATGATTACCTACTCAAAGACGGACCCAGAAAGGTGAGCACACATTGCAGTCGGAAGTGGCAACCTTTGTTCCCCACTTACGAGCCGAATGGGTTAAACTTCAAGCACCGCCTGCCATTCTTCACTTGAATTTACAATGGTAGATGGTAAATCTTTTACAGACGTCACTGAGCTCACTTTCCAGCCAAAAGGCGGCGGCGGCGCCCAGCCCCTTGGCAACCAGCACTGATATCCACTGTCTATCTGCACCATCAGTATGGCAAGTGGTAAAAAGTTCAAAGAGATTGCAAAGCTCACTTCCCCAGCCAAAACGCAACGGCGGCCCCCAGCGTCTTGGCAGCCAGCACCGCAGCGGATCCCCGCACGACGCCGAAGAGCAGCCCGGCCGCGCCCTCAAACGCAATGGTCCCCGGGAAGCACAACACAATGAAGAGCGCGTGGAGAACCACCCAGATGGGGTAGGCGTAGATCCCGAGGCTTGATACCCAGTGGTGCGCACCATCGATCGCCGCCTTGGTGCGGTCTCTGTAGATGAAGGTGGGTATTGCGATAGCGGCTAAGGTGACTAAGAGGGCCCATTTCAGCACCGGCTTTGCCATTGCCAGTCTAGGATGCGAGTGAGGTGCAACGGTAGCTGGTAAGATCAAACCACCCAAGCGATGATGACAGGATTTGAGGAGGCTTGGATTGGTCTCGGTTCCTTCTCTGCTTCCTTTGTATTGACAACGGAACGCATTGTCTTGATACTAGCTCACAGCAAGACCCGCCACCAGCCTACAACCTGAAGCATGCCCCCATGCTCATTTCGCCTAGGGACCAAGGTAGCTTTAGTATTATGGAAGGCGAGTATTAGACTCCTACTACTAGGTACTACTAGGTACTGCTCTCCTGATCAAGGCCTCCAGGATGAGCTTGCACGCGATGACCGTACGTCCTAACTCGAAGTTCGAGGCTTCGGTAGTGACCGGTAGTCTTACTTTCGGCCCTCGGGTGATGTGCCCACAGCGCGCAGCCCTCAGGACGCCTTGCCGAGATTGAAGCCTTTAGGACTATGACCGGCGGCGGTAGTGACCGGTAGTCAAGTTTTGTATAGGAATTACTGTTAGGGATGGTACCCAATGTATCGACGGTTTACATATTGCGACACTGTGACACATCGGACGGATATCATATAGCCTCTGGATTGGAAAATCTAGGTAAGTTGGTCGAGGCTCTGGCAGGCAGAAGAGCAGAAGTACCGTGTACGTCGCATGCATAAGATGTACACGGTGTTCAAGTTTCAAAGCTGCGTCATAGACTTCATCACCCGTTTTCCCCTTCATCATGGAGGAGAAGCGATGAGAGAAGCACGAGGGACCGATCAGACCGAGAGTTTGGGCAATTGCAGGCTGGTCACCCCGTCACCATTGCCAATTGGCATTGGTGGCGTGACCATGGCGGACTTTCAATGACAAAATAGGGACAGAAGGATCAATTGTCGATTGTTGATTGTTGATGTTAAAATCCTTGAATCATGTATACACTAATAGGTGCACGCTCGGACGTACATGAGAACATGGAAATGGATGCCAGCGCAGGGTGGATCAAATTGATCAAACTCACTTGTCACTTATGAAATCCGAAGTTCCAGGCAAGTTCCAATGAAGTTCCAATGACTACATAACTTCATATATTCATTTGTCTGATTAGTTCAAGGAATGTGGAAGCCGCATAGTATATCGCAATTGGCAATGATCCATACTTTGTGTGATCAAACTTGAAAGCACAGAAAGTACGTCATTCTACTAAGCCACTCATAAGCTAGCAGAAAATACCGTCAAGATTAAGGCTGAATGGCTCGTCATTGAATAAAACAAACGGGCCAATATTCGACAATATCTCGACAGCAAAATATGCCCCAGTGTTCTTATATTGTGCCTAATCATCATTTGAAAAATTTCAGAGCTTAGAAATTGCCGACTCAACTTCGAGTACCCATTGTCTCGGTGCATGCGCTGCCACCTATCAACAGTAGCAACGATCGACACCGATTAGAACGGTCCGACACCTCCTGGATCCAATAAAGCACCTTTTTTCATGGTGAATCTATCTGAAACCGGATCATGCATGGCCAGTGCCTTATAAAGATCCGACTAACTTAGTCCCTGAGCACATACTCTCTCCTTTGACGTCCTCGCAACACTAATCTGACATTTGATGTACGTTCAAGACCAACTCGGAGCACGGGATTGGCATGTGCGTGGGCAGTCTATGGAAATTTGGCAAGTTTTCCATCCATACAATGAACCTAAATTGCTGGGCTGCACCATCACATACATACAATACATTTCCTATCAGTTCAGTGAGTCATCTTGGTTGTCCAATAATCTGCATCAATGATTCGTCCCCAATTGCACATAAATTCTGCTGCTACTACCTCCAAGTGTTCAAGTGTGGTTTTGGTTCTTGCACCATGATGTAATTGTCTATATATGCTACTCTAGTTGGTCCCTATCCCTCAGCTTTTGTTTTACAAGTCGCTGCTTTCGTAAGTTTTTCTTGCACTCTTTGCAATATGTGTCAAGCCCATCCATCAAGAGCTTCCTCTTACTGAATTCAGACCGGCTTTTCTCCTTCCCACATTTAAAAGAGCACTTCGTTGCTGCCGGACAATGTAGCATGCTCTCCTGGACTTTCTGTGCCCACCCCTTGTGCTTCTGAAGTGTGCAACTTCTGCAATACGAATGCAAGCCCGTGCGAACTCTACCGGACGTATAAAAGTCTTGCGATGGTTTGAGATCCCCACAGATGCCGCATACCTGCCGCTGCACACTTGGCGGCCAAGGTGGCCGGCTCTGAGCATAGCTTGCCTGGCAACTCCGGCACTTGAAACGGATGCCGTCCGGCTTCTGTACATCCCTACTGAAATCACGAAGCTCTTGACGCTGTCCACAATCCCGACAATCCCGCGCTTGCTCCCATGCCTCCTCTACAGGAAGGCCAAGGTGGTGAAGCGGCCGTCCGCTACGTTTTGCCCACAGGGTGGCCAAGCACGCCCGGCACAAGGACCGCAGCCCATCAGCAGACGACCACGTTGCCTGGAAGTTGCGGAGCGGCTTCTCGTAGTTGCACACACTGGAGAGCTTCTTGGCTGCAACATTGCCTGGACTCCCCGGTGGTGTCGTGCTGAGCTGTCTCTCAGCTGTCCTGCTCAGACACGATGCTTGCTCACCCCCTGACGCTTGAGCTTTGACCCCAGCACCTCCGCGCAGCTCTACTCTCCTCAATCCCAGCACCAAAAGCAATGCCTGGTGACTGCATACCTGCTGAAATTCTCTCTCGCCAAAACAAGCCCCCTCTGGATTATTGTATGCCCGCGATAAGCTGTGCCACTGCCTTAGAATGTCACCGATGAACGCAGTGTTTGGGGGCAGCTTCAAAAAAGGTTGATTGGGAAAAGATTTGGGCTTTGAAACCTCAGCGCAACAAAGTGGATGAACGGCGTAAGCAGGAAGGTTGCCCTGCACTAGGCCCAGGAATCTGCACCATGCCGCTGCAAAGGTATTAGGCGGGGGCCGGCTCCTAGATGAGTTGGTGATGCAATGAGCTTAGCAAACAATGCCGCCATTCCGCCAATTGAAGCCACTGCAGCGTGCTGCCTGCTCTTGCATTCAGGCAAAATGCAACGTCAGATACTAATCAATGAGAGAGATGACCCTGATCAATGCAGAGGTGCTGTTTGAGCCTGAGCCTGAGGCTGGGGACCAAGCAGAAGAAACACCAGCAAGTTGTCATGTAGTTTCCACAATTTGTCCAACATTGGCAACGTGGATATACCGTATGACGGCTTAGATTGCCTGTATGGGATTGTTGAGGGGGCAACTTCAACAATCAAGGGCCAGAAACTGTCCTGAAGGGCCCTATACAAAATAAAAGGCGCCCCACGGTTTTAGGTACAAAGAAGGGGAGGGATCCCTGAGGCTGCATTGGCGACTTTTCCATTTAGGCCATGCATTCAGCACACAGGCTGTTACAATGACTCTTGAGACTCCATTTTCGCTTTTGTAGACCTGTACAGTTGTAAGTTGTTACACTCGAGATGGCTATGTAGAGGGCCTCTGTGATGCTCCTGCAATATTCAGCTTCTCCGAGCTCCAGACTGGATCCTGAGCAGATTACGGCGTTCCATTCTGGACATCATCTCCTGATCAGTCATGGCAGGCGGCAGGACACCCATGGCGCTTCAGTACTTTATTCACACCCTCCTTCGGCAGGTTCATGAGCTGGGGAACAAACTCAAGATTGATGAACCAGACTCCGTGGCCGCCAATGATCTTTCTGAAGAGAAAGCAATCTTCCAACTCAGTCTCAAGCAACTGGAAGCCCTCCGAGCCCCTCTCCAGGAAAGCGGAACTCTGTGCGAGAGACTTGCAGAAGATCCAAAGCAAGCCCTTGCTGCAGAGAATCAACTGTGGTATCTGGAACATGCTGTAGGCCGCGTAGCCGAGTTTCTAGCATGGTTGGAAAAAGTCGAAGCCGAAGATGCAGACAAAGCGTCGTTGCTTCGAAGCCCCGTCAAGGAGATGGAATATTCCATTGATCAAGCAGGGGAGTGGCTACTAGGATTCAGGCCCATTGCGACAGAGATGAGAGCTGCCTGTGACTCTCTGAAGCTTGCTATGGAAGCGGAGCCAGAGGATGAGAGCAGACCAGTGCCAAAGCCTACCAGCGAGAATTCTTCCTCCATCAACAGAATCACAACTCTGATATTAATAGCAGTGGCAATTCTGCTGACAGGGTCCTGGTTTGTCTTCAGATACTCAACGTGCAAGTGCAAAGAAACGCTGGTGCAAGTACAGGAACAATGTCCAGTAGCAGATGCAAGCCCTGCTAGCAATCTCCTGTCCTTGGAGTCTCTGTGCAGCTTCAACTGCAGCAGCATCCAAGTTCAGCAGGCTGCCATGAGCTTCTACTTGAACAAACACAGGGAGGTCCAGTCTGTTTCCATCCTCAACAGCGTCCCTTCAGGTCCCTGGCCCAACACTTGCGACGTCGCTTTCACTTGGAACCGCAGACTGGATGCTGGGGGAGCATCTGGAGAAGACTTTAGAAAGTTCCGCTTTGAAGAGGTCTCAGGTCACATGTGCACGTATGTTCCAGCTGCAATGGGATTCCATCTGACAGGTCACAAGGCGGTAGACGATGGCAAGCTCATTTTCCAGGGGATAGGGAAGTGCACAGGAAAGGTTGACGTGGCAGACTCTGAGGCAGCTTCTAACGAGGGAGCAGCGAAGTGGAATGGTCGTGGGGTCTGGCCTGTGTGCAGAAACGGCAACAAGTGGAGCTGCGTAGGCGGGCAGTACAAAGACAGATATGCGCACTTTGAAGTTCCTGAGTGGCATGGGGGAGGATGCAAGTGTGCGACTGGCTGTGCAGAGAAGTGGGCAGAGCATGAGGCATAATCAGGATTGCAAGGCCTGTGTAGCTTGTACGTCTCTACGGCAGTGAAGGGCCTTTATCTTTTGATTGGCAGTGTCACGATCCATGGAGTCCTCATAGTGGCAGTAGAAGTGTGTCCTCAAGTACGCGTTCTGTGTAGTCATTTATCATGGTCCCGCATCAAAAACAAACAATAGGTCCTCGATGTTTCACATAGATTCAGGTACGTGCTTGACAAAGATTAAAAGACTTTGGGTAAAGGCTACTGAAGTCGAGAAGTAATCGAGACTGGAGATCAAACCAGCGGCATCTAAGTTGCAGCTACAGTTGCTGTTAATAAGAGTAGTATTCGCGTGACTAGCAGATAGTGCTGGTGTTAATGGCCCTTGCACCAACGTTCCTTGATGCATCAACGTCCGCAATTGTAGCTGTTACTGTCCCAATGCTTTTCTCACCATGCATTTTTGACTATGAATCTTACATATGGCTTGCTCCTCTGCAGTGTGGCTTTCAAAGCTTGAAGTTTGAATTTGGATCCAAGAAGTCGATTGGAAACTTGAAACATTCGATCGATCGACTCGCTTCCACGGTACTGGCATCAGTGACGTCGCCAATATCCAACTAACTTTTGCTGAGCATGATATTCAACATAATTTGCTCGCGATCAGACTCATCGCGACGTCATGTCGCTGAGTAATTAGAGCTAGCTTCAAAAAACGAACTGAATGGAGTTCCGGCCTGTTATGTTCATGCAACACGTACGTACGCGACTAAATCGCGCTGCGCTCGTTTCCGACCTAGATTCCACGGGCTCTGCATGGCGCCGCAGCAGTACCATATCATGAACATGACAGAGATATGTGCATGGAATGTTCAAAGGTGAAGCTCTGTAAAATGATTGCTGATGGCACTGACACGCGTCATGATCGTCGTCAATGTGCAATCTTGTCGCGACGACGCGCCGTTAGAAAATTCGCCGGATCGTCCATACATGAAGCGATTGCATCATAATGACGGTAGGCTTTGGGCCGCTAAGCATAAGGACGGGTGGCTTATATCCACTGTTGTTCCGAACTGGTCCACCTATGGCACCTTCCGGACTTCGCCCCTGATGGAAGATTTTTAAGTCTTTCTATCAGCGTTCAATGACTACACTCAGGATCCTATCAAATATTTGTCATCTTTACCTTACCATCCTCGCAACACCAGTTCGACCTTGTTCCTCCTATACCAACTTGAAGCTCAGTACGTGTGTCGGCAAAATATACGAATCCAGATTTTCTAGCCACACAACGAACCTCGTCGGATCCGCCCTGTTATCTGTCCCTGTATCATACAGTGCGCTACTTGGCCGCGATTGTTGGCTCTCAAACGGCACCACTTCGGAAGTTCCCAGAATCACTTTACACAACAGCACGTGCCGGTCGCCTTGCGCATCTTCCGTGGCGAATTCGGTGGCGGTGTATGCTCGCCGCAGCGGTGCAAAGTACACCCCGTGGCCTGCAAAATACAAAGGATGAGCCACAAGAAAGCTTTTGCGGTAAACCGAGACCGTAGGGGTCACGGTTAAGGGGTTACGAACGTCAAAGCCACAGCTGCGAGTACTGCTAGTTCTCTCAGGCTGGAAAGCAGGAACATGTCTATGCTTCAACCCGCGTGTCCGAATATCATTTATGAAAAGGGTCCTAATCAACATTGTCTGGACTTATGTCACGGATGACTACAACATCCGGCCGCCAATGGCCGTGAGTGCGAAGCGCGACCCTATCAACCCCCAAAAACGGCTCTCAAAACGAGGACCCCAACACGCCACTCACGCCCCAGAGAGACACCACGCTTTGCAGCGATGACGTAAAGCGTCCGCGGTTTAAGCGTGAGTCCTCGCCTTACAAGCTGGTTCTGCTGAACTCGCAGGATTCTGACCGCTAGGGCTCACTGAGATATACGTGCAGAGTTAGGCTTTTCAATCCACGGCCTCAACTGATAAATTGTCGTCGAATCAGGTGTCTCCAGGGGATTGAGACTCTCACCGTACAAGTTGCCGTTCCGCGTCCAGGGGTTGAGCGTGAAGCCGCCCGTGACGATGCCCCCGATGTTCTCCAGCTTGGTCCCGTGCCACGCGCGCACCTCGTTGGCGCTCCCGCGCACCAGCGCGCGCTCCACCTGAGGAAACGTTTGCCTCGCAGTTCGACCCCTGAACCCTATCCAAAATTTCGAAGCATTTGTATCTTGGCTAGCGCGCTCTCATTTTGAGAACATGTACGCCTCACATTGAACTCCTGAACATTAATTGAAGAATGTTGACGGTTCAGTTGCCAGCGCGCTCGACCGGAGAAAGACGTATGCCTCGCAATCGGACCCCTGGGTGAAGCCTGATTTTTTAAAGATTTCGACCTGTAAATTGCTCTGAACGCTCTGCAACCGACCAAAACGTCTCCATCACTTAACTTATCAACAAACCCGCTACTTGAAAACGACACAGGTAGGCAAATTTCAAGGGGTCGTAATATAAGACATTCTGCAACTTAGCCAGAATCTCCGACGGTCTGCATATTGGCGCCACCGCGCATAAGCGCGCTCGACCTGAGAAGACGTATGCCTCGCAATCGGAGTCCTGAACCTTAGACATAATCTCCAACGCTTTGCATTGTGGCGCTACCGCGCACCTCCTTTTGAGAACATGTACGACTCACATTGAAATCCTGAACACTACCGGACGTTGTCGACGACTCAATTGCCCGGTTACCGCGCACCCTCAACCCCGAGAAATAGAAGCCTTATGCAAGGTCTCATAGCTAGAAGTGAAAGCATCGATGTTTCGTTCTTTCAGCGCTTGACCAAAATAAGGAGAATACTCGAAACCAGACTCCCTCTGCGAGCGGTCGGCTTGTTCAAGGAGGCAATCGTCCAGCTTCGTGAGCAAATAAGGGTAGGTTGTTAGACGTCTGCGGTCTCCAAGCTTACGCTAAAACGCATAAGTAGCGGGCAACAGGAAGAGTCGGGGTTCCGCAGCCAGACGACGATCTTTTGATGGAGGTTTTAACTTTTAGGAGCCCCCTCATTTCCTTTCTCTCGGACGCCCGCTCCATTTTTGGCAAGCAAGCATCATCTTATGCTCAAAACGTGCCCAGTCTTTGCCGCAGGGAAACGGCCACATCTGCACCTCCATTCGTTTCTCGCCGAACCGCCTCATAGAGATTTCGAAGCCCAATCCCCGCTTTCGGAAGGTGCTTTCTCAGCTCACCTTTTTTTCCTCGTACGTTTGCTCCCTCTCGTTCTCGTGCATAATCTTATGCACGCACGTGATGGCGACGTCGCGCCCCGCGCCGGGCCCCTGCCGCTCCATGCCCAGTAGGAAGTCCCGAATGACCGTCTGGCACTCGGGGTCTTCTCCTTCCAGCACCTAAAATTCAGAAGTTCGGGGTTTTAATATTGATTTAATGAAATGTTCTGGAGCGGAAAGAGCTTCTGGTACTTGAAGCCCAATAAGAAGTCCCAGATGACCGTCTGGCACTTGCGGTCTTCTCCTTCCAGCACCTAAGTCCAGTTTCGACAGTGTGGGTCATCTACTTTCTTGTGCCCGAAACTTTTAAGTATGTAAGATTCGACTCGCACTCGGAATCTTTTCCTACCAGCACCTGAGATCTGGGTGTTCCAATTTTTGGGTCCGTAAAGTTCCACAGTCGCAGACTGAATTGAGGTAAGGGATCACGCATGAGCATCAAGCTGTCAGGACTTCCTTCTTTAAGCACCAGAAAGTTTGCACTCCGCTTTTTGGATTCGAAATAAGCAATAGCATGGCACCGATCAAGGATGCCCCTGGCGGACAGACTCTTATCGCGCAACACAAAAAGGAACAAAAGGCCCTTCCTCGCGGAGCTAGATACGCGCCAGAACTTTTTAAGTTGGACGAAATCGCGCTCCAACAGTGCCCAACTTATTGGTCTAGCTTCGTCACACCAAGGAACGGAATGGACTTAAGTACCTGGAAGTGCCCGGGAATCTGCTCCAGTTGCTCTACCACTAGAGGAAGCTCCACCGGGGCTGACGGGCCGGAAGTGCGCCGCGAGGGGATGGGGGGAGTGCGCTCGGGCCCGGAGGGGGCGTCCAGAGCAACCGGGACGGAGAAGCCGCGGCTCTGCAGAAGAATGATATAAGAGCAGACTATGAGCGGAAGAAGAGCGGAATAAGAGCGGATACGGAAGAGAGGAGAGGGGATCAAGAATGACTTATCTAAGCTCAAGGTGGGAATCAGAAGGGGATTTGTTTACTCTCATATTTTTACGCTATTTCTAAAAGCGTAATGAGAGCGGATACAAGGGGAATGCGCGGGGATCAAGAAAGTACTAAGCTCAAGGTTCGCGTTGACAGAGGTGGTCCCAAAAAATAATCACGTTGGTCAGAGAATAAGTGGGCAGGTTAGCATAGACGTATTGAGATTACTCAAGCGTAGGAATCAACCGTGGTTTTTGGTAAGACGTCAGATTACAATCTTGCTTGAAACGGGGAAAACATCGTTTTCATAGCCATCTGGTTAGCTTTGGGTGTTGAAATGGGGGCCCCTACTTTTGGTTTGACGCCGACGGATGGTTTCAACGAGTGACGATCATGTTCCGGGGAGGATGCTTCAAACAAGAAGAGAACGGGGCTCGTAACTCTGTCAGCACCCCGGAATGTCAGAAGACCGCACAGAAAACGGATCAGAATCAGATGCATCACAGATGATGCAGTAAAACGGAGTAGCAAAAGCCGTACCTGGAGGACCCAGGCATATGGCGCCATCTTTTGGGGGTCGATGATGAGCGCCTGGAACGGCTGCGCGGGCATGCGCCACTGCCCCGCCGGCTGCATCATGCAGATTGCAGTATGTCAGAATCTTTCCACTTCTAGATTTCAGAGGTCGAATTGGACCGGTTGGTAGCCACGCCTGGGCCGGCAATTACCGCCCGCCGATCATCACGCCTCCAACTGCCCAAAGCTTCTGGACGATCGAAATTATACAAGACAACGTCAGAAAGGAAGAATGGAGAACGCGACTTCCGAGCGAGCGTAAGAGATGATTACATCCCCTGGAATCGACGGATTCGGTTGATCGATTACTTGATCCTGACGGTCGATTGAAGGGGTTATAAAGGTAAGGGATATTAGGGTGCCGCCGGGCTCTCCTTTTGTTCTGTCAGTACTTCATCGGCCTGACCGTTGTTGAATGATAAAGGAACAAGATAACGAGAACCTCATATCGTGTTCAACGTCCCAAAACTGATTGAGGCAGGCGAAGGAAATCTCGTATCCAACAGAACGTACAAATCTTGCAGCCTGGTGGCAGTAGGTGGGATGCTGATTATATAGGAACGGGTAACTCGAGAATGAGAAGAAACACGTACAGTACGAACAAGCCCCCCAAAAGCTCGAACCCCAGAAGCCTACCTGCACCTTCCAGCAGATGGAGCGCGCCATCCAGCTGGTCGCATTGATCTGGATCATTTGGACAAAGTCCACCACAAACGTGAGCCCGCTGCTCGTTGCGGCAACAGTGAAGTTGGCGCCCTCACCCAGCTCGAAGCCGCACGTGCGAGCCGCAGTCTCGTCGAAGGGCAGCCTGGCAACAGAATTTGACGTATTCGAAGTTTCTCCTCTAGAAAAGAGACCGCAACAGCATGAGTGTGAACAAGTGCGAGTCTGCTCGATGTCACTGCAACCACGAGGTCTTTGCTGTTGCTAAAGCCCAAACCCGCCAACGCGAGTACCCATCACCTTGATTGCCATCTTCGCGAAGAGGATAAAGCCATTCAAGACAAGGGCCAGGAAGTATCCCGAAATCAAGATAATTCCAGTGTGAGCAGTCAGATTTGAGCCCAGTTCTTCTGTTGCACGGGCTTGACCTTGATCTGAAGACTATGATTCGACGAAAGTTCCGTTCCCCAAAAGTTGGCTGTGTTTGCCCAACAAGATTCAGAGATTGTCTCGCCTGTTCCCGATTTTAAGAGCAACTCTGAGGTGACTTGTAGTGGCTTTTCAATGTTACGACACAGCGCAAAGAAGCTAGTCCTTTGACTTTTCAATGAAAAGCTTTCCCGTACCGGCCTGGGAGCGACATTGAGAAAGGATATTCGAAGGTTCTGTCTTATGCTGGAACTCGAATCCAAAGACAAATCCTGCCTTGCAACAAGTTCAGAAAAGTAGGGACTCTGTCTCTCAATGAACTGCTTTCAGGAGGTCACTTTGACTCCTTACTTGCTCCCCGCCATCATGTTGCAAGGAACATTCGAATCACAATTCTCTCACCACTCTTGCCCCTCCTTGTATTTGAAGTCGATGGTACAGCTAAGGGCCCTGTCCCGCAGCATCTCCTGGATCTCGGTGTGGCGGCCCCCATTGGCCAAATGCACAGGCAAGCACCCACTCTGCAGCAGGGGGGGAAAAGCGTAGGCGTGGTCAGCTCTTAACCAATCTAGGTTAGTGCGCCGGAGAGGGAGCACGCCCATCACTGGAGTGGGGGGATCCGGCCTTAAGAAAGCTTTGGTTGGAATGCCCGTTGACAAGCACGGTCTTCAAGTGGTGAGATGCTCCAAGCAGGGATTGAATAAACACTCAAGTTTGATCCACTACATTCTGTACTACAGGATACCTTTCAAGTACAACGCCGGGCACTGCCTGAAGAGAGGAGCTGCTGGCGCCAGCTTAGAAATTTCGAGGACCCTGCTTGTCAGCACACAAAAAACTGCGGTTGCGACCCATTTTGGTTAACACTAACTAACATTGCCACAGGGGCTCCTCCTCAATGCTTCGCACACCAGCAAACTAAAGCGTTCGGTTGTTCTGTTCAACTCTACTGCCTGTCCGTCAAGGGCTTACGGACCAAGCTTTTTGAGCCAGCGTGAGCAGGATTCAGGGCAATGACCGAAGAAAGGGACTTTTGTGATATTCCTCTTTTCTTCTCCTACAATGACGTACTGGCAGTTAGTCTTAAAGCTGCATTGACGGCACATTGGGAGGATGCTCAGCATTCAACAATGTGTCGGGGCTGAAAGGATTGGCCGCTAGCTTATGAAAGCGCCCCGCCCTTATCTGGTGAGCTTTTGCAGATTCAAAACTTGATTGGGCCCTTAGCCCTACACTAACAAGGAAGACTACAATCAAGAACTGCTGCAAAGCTGCCGCACCTTGTTCCTTATGGTGTGGTCAGCGCCCTGGGCCAGGAGCACCTCTGCAATGTCCCTCAGGCCCATCCCAGCCGCGTAGTGGAGAGGCGTATCCCCCGCCTGAAGAGAAAGATTGAAAAGGTATGATAGAGAATCTGCCTGGTGCAGAAAGTCGAGGGCGCTCCCTCTCATAGAAATGAAACGATCATGATGCAGATTGAGGGGCCTGTTTCACAACTTTTGCCTTGGGGAGTGCCCCCAGCTTTACAAGTCACCATTTGAGGTTCTGGAGCTGGGGTTTCCATCAGCAGGATTTTCCCATGACAGAAGCTGCCCTTTTCGCTGGCAAACCGGGTGCCCCAGCGAAGTTCCTCTACTTGGTATTTCAGCTCATTGAAGTCCGCTAACTGTCTTTCCAGACTGAAAGCTGAAGCAGTAGAAGGTTGGCATTGTTGATGTCAGGTAGACCCCTTGAAACCCTAATTTTCAACATCGCACCACTGATTAACCCCAATTGAATGAGACACTCACGTCGTCAATTGCATCAATAGCTGCCCCCTTCTGCAGCAGGAATTCCACCGTAGCGCAGTGCTTTGATTTGACGGCCACGTGCAGAGGAGTCCTCTTCAGAGAACTCCGCCTGCTGGGGAGGTTTATATTTGCCCCCCCCTGCAATTTTCGCTCGAGCGCCCCATTGTCCCCCTTCCTGGCGAGATCGGAGATGCTCGAGCTGAGCCCAATGTCGCCCAGCCGCCTGTAGCTCATCTTGAAGCCCTTGTGACAGCCCTTAGACGCGTGAGGCCTTGCAGAATGAGAGAAAAGCACCTTAGGCTTCTTCAAATGTTGAGCTGCTGGACCAGCTGCTGCTCCAGAAGGGCCATCATATGAACTCCATTAATTTAATATGCTCCCAAACCCTTTCAAAACCCGGGCAGGTTTCCTGAACCGTTCGACCGTCGCCCGCGCGGCCGCGTCATCGCCGTGTTATTTTTGTAAAGCTCTCCGGCCTGCGCTAAGTTCCAGATGCAGTCTCTTATTCCCTTCTCTGCCTCAAGATAGGTAGTGTGCAACACAGGAATGGCACAGGTATTTCTGACGTGGGCCTGTGGATGCATGCTGACCACTGACAGAGCAGGGCTGGTGGGGCACCAATTGGAGACTTTCCTGGTGGAATGGAGGCGGCACACCCTTTGCAGTGAGATGCTTGTGACTGATAAGCAGCAGCAGAGGGATCGCTGACAGATAGACATGGTCCCCTTCTCCCCTGCCTTGGATTCAGCATACCACCAATCAAATAACGGCATCGATCAAAGAATGTCACTGGTAAGTATTGTGTGTATTGTCGCTCCACTGGGCCATTGCTTGCGTGCAAACCTGTACATCTATTGCCTATTCTGTGCGAGCTCCTTGTTCCTTCTGTCAAGAGCGGATCTCTATCTGCCCTGACTTCGTCCAGCCTCTCTTTCACTGCCCCCTTCTCGCTGACTGTACATGTATTTTGTTGAAAGCGCCGCGTCATGTTGCTTAATGAGGATGCACTTGATTCGTTCGATGGACAGAAGAGAGGAGCTTTGAAAGATGCAAACAGATGTTCATTGTCAAAGCTCGGTGCTTATACATTTGTTTTGTAGAATTTTAGATACTCCAAGGGGTTTGAACCTAGTCCTCGAAAGGGAGCTTTGCAAATGCTTCTGATCATCCACAGTGGAGACTGCATTAGTACGGTCCAAGCCTCATACTTCCTGCAGTCACTAACGGACCAGGTTGTTCCGATCCCTTCAGGTGAAAGTGGCTGAATGCAGAGACGACGCAATATGGTAGCAGCTCTACCAACGGAGATGGAAGGGAGACTCGTCAGGAGAAGGGGTCACGAGAAAGAGCGAATTGGGAATGAATGGGAGTTGATGCATAGAGAGGATGAGGAGAAGGCGGAGGGTGAGCCGTCTGGATTGAAGTTCAAGCAAAGCATCTACGAAGAGTACAACCAGAAAAGGAGGACCGTGCGCCTGAAGAAAGAAGCACTCAAGGAAGCGTTTGGGAGATTGCAGGAAGTGCAAGCGCGGCTGAGAGAGAGAAACGAGCCTGCATATATAGACCACGACAAAGGGCCCCCTGAAATCTTACAAAGGGCCTTTGCAGAGCCGAATGCTGCGTCTGATGAACTCGATCAGGCCTTCCAGGAAGCAGAGGACTGTCGGCAGCACCTTGGTGTGAAAGCTTGGTGGTTGGAAACTGTCGAAAGCTTGGGTCTGAGAGGGACTAGCTGGGGATGGTTCAATTTTTGTACGTAGCTTCTCAAACTTAGAATGGACATCCTAGGCGTGCCTTTAGGACTGGTCAGTCAAGCATTCAGAGCATACTTTGAAGGGTTAAAGCATTCAAAGCGTACTTCGAAACCTGAAAACCCTGTTTAGGTTCTTCAGAGTCGTTAGACATGCGGCATACATAGCTTCAGTGTGTGAGTATGCAGGCCCGTATTAAAACTGCATACGGATAAAGCCTGAAAACACGTTCACGTATGCCATCATTGAGAAGCCGATCACTGGCCAGTAGCTAACGTGGCTGGCTCGTGACTCTGGATACGATAGAGCTCATAAGCGAGTCATCTCACGGCCCAGCAACTCATTTGCAGTCGAACCAACTTGACTTTATCAGACACTGCACTGATGGCACGCAGATATCTCACCACCCAGATGGGATGACGGAAATCGAGTCAGAATTGACCGAGCACACCAACGAGCTTTGCAACAGATCCGCGTTCTGCAGTCTGATCCTACAAGTATGTGCCATGACAAAGATTACATGATAGTCTCGATCCCATGAGAGCTGCAATTGCATGTACAATTGGAGGGAGGATATAAGAGATTACGCAGCGCGCCTGGTTGGGAGATGTCTAGCTCGGGCCATCTTTTACCTTTCGCGGCATCATGCAACTTTCCAGCGATGAGCCGCGCTGATGTCACATTACTTGATTTCAATGTTATCTTCCATCTATTGCCGCAAGCCTGGAAGTTCAGCGCAGATGGTGCACTATAAATGTGTTTCAAACATGCAAGCTCTGAGCTATTCTTGATTTCTGCATGGACTTATAGCTTCTGTTTCATGATCAGCGCGAAGAGCATGGCTGCAGTCCCTTTGAGCAGCTATTAATATCTGTCTATTCTTCCGGACAATTCTCCAGTAATCGTCTCGTCTCATGATGCTTTCAATCTCTTCTGACTAGGGCTCTTGTAACGACAGTCCTTCGCAATCCTAGAAGACGAAACCAGGCTGACTGCGGCGGCGCGTGCTATATCAATGGCATGGAAGATGGGTTCCATGACTATCTTCGCTGTCACTTCGATGTTGGACTTCTCTATTTCGCTGAACCTAAGGTACAAACATCTTTTGGCCAATCTCGTTTTACGTCTCGCCCGGTCGGACGAGCTAGCGACGTCGAAGGTGCAACCATCTATTGTCCGACTTCCAGCCGCATGACTGGAAGCGTCTCGCTTTGTTTGCATCACCTCGACCTAACCAAGGGCTACTTTTGGACGTTTCAGAAACTGTTCACCTTCTTTCAAGACCGGTAGCTTCGTCCACAAAACCAAAGACCGACAGACTTCGCGACGAACCGAGCGTCCCGAGTGCAGACAAAGCCCCATGCTTTCGTCGTGACTTTCGACTCTCGACGTCGTTATTTCTTTTCCTGGCCAAGCAACCCCTTCTCCTCGTCGACGTCGAACCCCTTCTCTTTCACCACCACGACTTTGCTACTCTCCGCAACGGTGTCTCGAGCGCGTTTTGTCTCCTTAACCCAGTCTGTCCGCAAAACGAAGATCAAAACCAGGAGGGTTTGGAAGGCTTGCGCGGCGCCCTGGCCCATCCACATCCCCTTGAGCCCCGCGCGGAAGTAAAAGGCGAACAAAAGCGCAGACGGCAGGCCTACTCCATAGTATGCAATCATGTTTATGGTCGCCGTAACCCCCGGGCGCGCAACCCCGCGCATAACTCCGCCCAGCGGCCCCTGGAGCATGTCCAAAAACTGGCTAACCGCGAAATACGGGACTAACCCGGCTATCAGCGTGACGAAACCCGGGTCGGTGGAGAACAACAAGGGGACTTTGTTCCTTAACCCGATCAACCCGGAAGTGAAGACGACGCTCGCGCACACCGCGCACGCCATGGCCACGTGGGCCGCGAGGCGCGCGGCCGCGGGGCGCGCGGCGCCCAGCTCGTTGCTGACACGTGTCGCGACGGCGTTCATCAGGGAGACGGGGACCATGAAGCAGACGCTGCTGATGTTGAAGCAGACGGCCATAGCGGAAACGGCGAGCTCCGGGTTCTGCGGTAACCACATAAAGGTTAAGGGACTTGAGCTCCCGGTTCAGCCGGTGACAGAACAAACGTCGAGATTACTTAGGGGCTGATTCCAGAGCTTTAGGGTTTCAGTTTGGGGTTTCGAGGGGTTTTCGTGAGTTTGTGGAGTTCGAGGCTTTGAAGGCGAAAGACGTTGAAGGCGACAATGGAAGGCAGCTACTAAGGGCAGCGTTTATCAGCCAGGTGCTAGATTTTCGGAAAGTTTGAAACAAAGTAGGGGACTGCGAATCACGCAAGCTAAGACTTTAGATAGCGCGAGGCCTGGGAGTTCGACGGACTAACCGGACTGCAAAACCTTGTCCCTTGAACGGGGGCACGCAAGGACCCAGGTGGTTAGAATCAAACTCAAGTCGTCAGTCATAAGATCGAACGAAGTTTTGTATCCTCCTCTGCAGCAATTGAGAAGATGTCAGCGTTCCGCAAGAAGGAAAAGCTAGATCACGTCGAAGTCGTTGCAACTCTCAGCTCTAGGTTTCGGCGGAAAGATTATACAAAAGAGCGGGCGGATCCGCTCACCGGAAGGAGCCCCGCCGCCAGCATGAGAATTTCGAAGGACCACCACTCGAGGCAGAGCGACAGCATCGATGGGAAGCCAAGCCTGCAAGAAGATCGAACGGTTCAAGATTGGTCTACGTTTAAGCTCAGCTTTGATCGGCGAGACGTGAAAATCGGTTTTGTTGGTCGAGACGCGGTTTGGAGACAATGGAGGGATGAGCTTTCGGGGGGACCCACTGTCGTTCAAACCCTGGGGTCTCCTATCCATGCTTGGCAAGACTCAACTTTTAGCAAGAAAGTGCATCCGAAAAACGAAGGGAGAAAGGGCCTGAAACGGATTCCGGGTTGCTGATGCAAGTGTCAAAGCCAATCCGTTTTACATCTGACATAAACCCCCAAAAGCGTACTCAAACATCGACTATAAGGCAGAAGACAATTGATGATAGACGGCGAAGTCCGCCGTGTGACTCAAACGAAGCCCTCCGTAGCTAAGGCAACCTTGAGGCCGGATTGACTCTCGTCGACAAAGCGTCTTCAGACACAGAGAAAAACAAATTATAAGCCAAACAAGAAAGTGACCTAGAAAAGCTCACCTCAGAAACGGTCCCCAGTTGCTAAACGCGATCTTGAAGCTAAATCCGTCCCACGTCTTCTTATATAGGCCGGAAAGGCAGATATAAGTCGCCATCATGACGAGAGTGCAGAGGCTCATGACGAATTGCGCCAGAGGGATTCCGAAGGCGCCCCAGCGGAACACGAAGACGAACAGCAAGCAGAGCGGAATGAAGAACAGGAACGGAATGAGCTGGCAGATGAAGACCGGAAAGGTCGAGCCCTGCGCAAGCGGAAGAGAAGGGAGTCAGGAAAGTGTGGGGCCAGCAGACGACGACAGAAGTTAGAAGAAAGTAGATTCGTGCCCCTGAGAACGCAGGGACAATAAGTTGCTTTCGACGGATTGTTCGATACGTTTCTGGAAAGACACGGAGTTCCGTGTATCGTCGCAACCCGCAAAGGTCGCACGTAATGCATCGCAGACTGGCGCTGCAGAATGTTGACCCTGTAATTTAACGGGCCCGAGAGAGCGGAATGAAGAACGGAACGGAACGAGCTGGCCAAGCAAAAGGGGAGATATTAGGCCCTGCGCAGGTGAAATAAAGGGAATGATGATAGCGTGAGAGCAGCAGACGGACAATTGGCGTTGATCCATAAGAGCAAACAGTGCGGAACGACGAACAGAACGGAACGAGCTGACTGACAACAATCTTTCTTAAGGACGTCAGGCGCTCCAGGGCGATGCAAATGAGGTGAGCTGATACACAGATCACAATCTCAGTATGAGAGTTCGTGCCCGTGAGGAATCCTTTGTCGGAATAAGCACAACGGCTCATCAGAAGAACCGGTAACACTTGACATGATCAAGCTGACTGCTTTTCCATCAGTCGAGAAGTCGAAGTGACTGCCTCTCCATCAGTTGGAAAGTCGAAGTGCACAGCGCAAATGGTGCCCGGTCCTCGACAAAGACGAGATCAAGGGCTGGCATCGCGATCGAGTTCATCGAGAAAACAGTCTCAATGCGTGACCCCAAAGGTGCATACCCTTTCTCAAAACGCAGACTTTCTGAAGCGGGCTTTTTACCTGCGCCTTCATGAACAACCGCAGCGGGAAACGCAGGCAGAGGACGAGCAGCCCCGGAATCAGGTACCGAATGTACATCCCCGCTTGGTGGGCGATATCTTTATGCTGGCCAATGCTCGTGAGGATCCATTCGGTGTTGAGCCAGAGAACTAGGATGGGCAGCGAAAGCGTGAGAAGAACCGCCCAGCCCCGCTGCAACGCGTGGCCGACAATGTGGTACTGCTTCGCGCCGAATGCCTGGCCCATGATTGGATCGAGGCCGATCCCCATGCCGATCACGATACTGCGCGAAAGGAAAGAGGGGAAGCGTTTGCAATGGTTCCAAAAGTGCGGGGAAGGATTTTACATAGATGGGCCGGAAAGACATGGACTGCGGAAAACGGAAGTTTCTTGTAAGATGGCCCCAGGGGGGGTTTTGCAGCGAATGCAGGCTCTGGGAAAGAGGTTCAACCAGTACGGTTTGACAAGCTGCTCGACTGCCCACCTTGTGATCCGTCGAAGGGACAAAGGGCCAACGAACAAAAGGCCAGTTTTAACAGCATGACAAATAAGCAAAGGGGCATGGCCTCGTTTAAGGGCTGTCTCGAAGCAGGCCCCCTTCCCTTCGGAAAAAGGGCTCCCTGCTGATTGATAAATCGTGTCAGATCAGTCTCCCTTTCCAAAACAAAAACGAAAGAAGGTATCTGTTTGATCAATTGGACTGAACTCAAATCGTGATTTTTAGAGTTATGGGCTTCAGCTAACTGCCCGATTGCTGGAGCATTGAACAAGATGTTATAGGCTCCTCTGAAAATAGAAATTGACCATCAATGTGATGATCCACAAGATGCTTCACACAACTGTTCATCCGTCGCACTTCGCCCATCGTCAAAGGCCACTGCAAAACCGACTCGCCTTTTGTACCGCCTGATCCCGCCAACATCATTCCTCTTGTATTTCGGAGCAGCGAGACTAATGTTTGACTGCCCAACTTCAGTCAATTATCACCTTCCAACGAAACCTCCAGTCAAGTATCACCTTTTTCGAAAAGCTCTTTTCAACTCGACACACCAAAATAAGATATGCTACACCCACTCACCTGTCTCCGCAAATGTTGCCAAGCGAGATGGCGAGTGCGCCCCCGGCCAGCTCTTTTCTCCCCAGATGCCCCAAGAAAGCCATGGAGATAATCCCTTGGGAGCTGTAGAGTGCATTCACACCAAGTAGCGGCAGGGCCATCCGGAGCAGCCGCCGCAGCTCTGCGAATGCCTCCGTCCGGGGGGGGTAAGCAGGGTAGGCCGCGACGTCAGGTTCAGGGTCCGCTGACATCACCAAACCCGCCCCCGTCTCTAATGACGTCAGCAGGGCTTCCCGATCGCCGTCTCCGTCATCTGAGCCGTCCCAGAAGGCGTCGCTATCCACCTTTGGGTTCAAGTCGAAGGTGGGGGTTGCAGGCTTCGACTTTTGCGCTATATTGTCGGCAGTCCTGAACTTCATCCAGGGGACCTGGTTCTCTTTGTCAAGGTCTGTGCTAACCGTAGGCGGGGTTACAGCGCTTGCCCGAGGCGCAGCTTCTATTCGAAACGTGGACTGATGGGTGAAACCTCGTGGTGACGCCCCGGCAAGCCTGTTCCGGGGGGTGGATATGTGTGCCACATTGGCCCCCCGTTCTGCTAGGCTGAGAGCAGGGAGGCTTGCACCAGCATTTCGGTCCATTGTGCAACTATCAGCAGGTCCTTCAGACCTTCTGTTGAACAGACACTTGTGTGCCGCTCAACTAGCTCCAACTGGAGTGTCTGTGCGGGTAAAACGGGTTGTGTGCTGTGCAAAGACTACCAGTTTGTGGCCTTGATGTAGTTGCGCTCTAAACACTTGTATAACATCTGTATAAAAGAGGATGAAGGCTTGAGCTAATTATCAATGTGAGCCTGCCCCTGACACACTACACAACTTTGCGAAGACGAGGGCGCAATCATATGGGCGCCCAAGCTTTTATGAAGCTGATGAACTATATATTGTCTACACGGCAACTAAGTGCATCAACATGGTCCACTTAAGCTCAACTTTAAGCTCAAAGGGCATAAAGCAGACGACAAAAGAATCACCTCGACTGAGTATAAGCGCCCACCAATCAGTGCCACGAGGAAGCATCTTACATCAACTGATCCTTCAGTAATCGGTTTAGGAAAGTGCAACCATAAGGTTTTCCACCCGCATGCATTGATCTCGATTCCTCCTCACAAAAGATACACTTAGATGTGCTCACCCGTACAATCAAATACGATACCCTTTCTATGAATGAAGCAGAACTGTTCAAAGTAATAGACTCTCTGTCACTCACTTTGCAGCTGAGCACTGATGGCCCGCCCCTCTTCGTGCTTTGCGGTTGACTCGCCACTCAGCACAACGCCGCCACAGATGTAGCTCAGTCGGCAAAGCCCTTGTGCTGGAGAAACCGAACCAATCATGTGTTTTCAGCAGGTGCATTGGAGTTGGCAGCTTAGCTGTCTGGTTAAGGTGACCAAAATGACAAAGATGGTGATCTTTTCTCCCCCCTGCCAGCTCATGCAATCCGATGGCGGGCAGCAAATATCTTCCGCCCTTGAACCTAGGTAAGCTTGAATGATCTACCTACTCACTTCTAGTGTAGGTTTACCTATCTGGAAAGTGATTCAGCAATTTCAGCTGAATCAATCTGGAGTCTGCCAAAGTTCTTGTTGAAGCTTTTCTCATGGCTTTGTACCGGTAGCCCTTTCCTAGCCCTTTTGCCGTGTGTACATTATGTATGACTGAACACGCACAATTTTGTGAGCAGGGAACGTACCCGTGACGGGATTGTATCCAAGCTTGAACGCGCTCGCGCGCAAAACGTTGAGCCAATCGCTGTGTTCCTTTGCTGTCGGTAACGTCACCTGTACGCTTTTGCACTTGCCGCGTGGCCGTGCTTTTTCAGCGCGGGAAGAACTAGGGTGAGCTCTAAAACCCCCTAGCGACAGATCATGTGACCTTTGGCACTCTCTGGCTGGCTTCTCTCAGTCTGAGTCAGGCCCGCTGGATTGCCAGGGAAGACGGAACTTCTTGCTAAGCATTTTACAAGATCAGATGGCGGCCATGGCGCACGTCGCGAGCTTTCTGCTTCTGTGGTCCCTCCTGGTTTGCATAGCCGCAGAACCCCTGCGCTTGAGCGTATCTATCTCAAGGACAGAGTCTGGTGAGATCAAGGTGTCGGAGGTGCCAAATGGCGGGGAAGATCATGCGTGCGCTTCAGGCGTGTATCAAGTAAGTTGCATTGATTGAAGGCATGTAAGAAGGCTGTTTCTCAAGGAGGTGGTTGCTTCTTGATCTGCCTTTCAGATCCACATCAGAAGGTCTGCCTTTTACCACCACCTAATTTATCAGACTGATCAGTTGTAGATGCCCCCAGTGAAAATGAGTGGAGCTCTTTGTAGCCAACCTGGGCGGTTGTGGATTGTCAGGTGCCTGCCTGCTTCTTCCTGATTGCATCGAAACGCTCTTACTGAGAGGAGCCGTAGTGCTAGAGTCCTCTTGGTAAAAAGTGTATGTATTGTGGGCTCTTGTACCTGGATGTGACTTTGATCTGGGGGGTCTGCCACTAGTTTGATGACAGGTAGCCCTTTCAGGAGGTTACCCTTAAGTAGATGATTCTGTTGCATGGATGTATCATCTTGCCAAATAGAGCAACTTCTCTGTCTTTTACATCTTGAAATCCTGTTAACTGTCGTCATGCCCTCAGGTGCTGCCGCATGCTGTTTTCCGTTGAAGTCATGTTCACAGCATTACGCATGCCCCCCGTCCCCCTCTTTTGCTAAATCCGAGTATCACATCGTTCAAAAGCACTATGCCCCGTCGATCAAGTTCGTCAGATTCGCAGAGGTCCTTCCCGAACACCTGAAGAAGTATCCAGTCCTATCATCAATCCGTGAACGTCGACCTCTGGGGAATCCATACACGAACAAGGCCCTCGTGATCCCAGTGATTCGGAGATACAACTCACTGGAAGGAAGTTGCCCCCTCCTTGGCCCAACTGACTTCCATCTTCTCTGAGGCCCTGTAAAACGATTCTTCTTTTCCAGAGAGAGTACACCAACCTGGGCTGGAACTTCCTACAAATCACCACCGGGGCCTCCTGCCCCGACCCCGACCAAGCCTATGCCGCCGGCTTTGTCGAAGGCGCACTTACGTGGGAGATGACGTGGGATCACTGGCAAAACACCAAAGATGCGCTGAGTGCTAGCGACGAGCTGCCGGCGTTTCTCGCCGCGAACGACAAGTACGTGAGCGGGGAGATTGCGGCGGAGCATCTGAACAGCAGCGAGGCATTTTGGTGGCAGGTGCGTGGCGCACGGAATGCTTGGATTATGCTTTATTGGATTATCAAACTCGATTGTCATCCGCCCGAGCTTAGCATCTGGACCATTTACTTGGCCCTCCTCAGTTGGCTCGTAACACCTCCGTTGTTTTTCCTTGACTGCTTCAGGACTTGTTGACGGGACTGCGCTTGAGCCATAAAACCCCCGAACTTTGCGGCCTTGTGGATCTCAAAAGAAGTCATCAGCATGCCCTCCGAGCCCGCTCAAACCGTAGTGCTACCTGCGGTCACACTGTAGGAGCAAATCTTGGAGTCTTTGATGACTGAGGGACGAGTGTGAGGACCGCTGGCGGCATTGCATTAAAAACAGCTGCCCAGGGGCGCCCTTCTGACGGATTGGTGGTCACAGTTTGAGGTGCAAGGGCGGAAGCCACCTTTTGAGGGCCATTCGAAACGAAACGGGTTGTACAGCATCTCACTTTAAGTATGTTCAGACTCAGAACGCCAAAACTTTCTATCCAGTTGTGAGAGCACACGTCGAACCTGTGTCTTTCTCCAGGTCAGTCTGGTGTTCAAGTACTTAAAGGCAGTCGGACGTCCAGATTGGCCGCGACATACTGCGCATTATGCATTTCCAAGGGCGGTTGGCGCCGGAGTAGTTCATGGGCGGAGAAATTTGAAGTTCCCCAGACTCTTGCGTACAGAAATGGCCAGGAATCCATTCGGAAATCTGGGACCTCGTTGTAGTCCAGGTCAGTCTGGTACTCGAACAGCTTAAGAGTCCAGAAATGTCGAAATTTTTTCCTACCCAATCACGAAATCACGAATTCTCGGACCTCTTTCTTTATCCTGGTCAATCCAGTCTTGGGATTGAACAGCTCGAGAGGCTCAAGAGCAGTCTGCAAATTTGGACCTCAATTTTTCTTTCAGGTCAGTCTGGTGCTCGAACAGCTCAAGGGGCTCGCGGCAGGGTATAATTCATACGCGTCGACCAGCAAGAAGCTGACGCTCGACGATTTCTTGCGGATGAACAGCGACGGAGACTTTTACGACCTCATCCCGGCGCTAAAGCTAAAGAAGAAAGGTGAGTTTGGTATCATGCTAGGCGGTAAGAGTGAGTGCGACGTTTTACTCGTGTTTCTTAGGTCGGGGATGGTTCTGGGCGCATTCCTACCTCTGGAACTCTAGAAGAAGGACCATTAGATGTAGGCGAAGGTTCCACTCTTCTTATGGAGGGCAGGGTTCAGGATGGCGGGTTCGCTTCGCTTTGGGTTCCGCTAGTGTCGGACAAGTTCAAAGGATTGTACGCGGGCTTGTCCGACTTAATTCAGAAACTGCCAGACATTTGAGGACCTGAAAGGCGGGCAAATCTCGCAGTTCATATGAGCTGACCTGAGGGGTGCCTCTCATAAAACATAATTGGCGGATTAGGTTGGATTCAACGCACCCTCTCCCGCTGCGTCAATGCTCCTTCGAGGTCCTGACGCCCTTCGAAACGACCAGGACCACTCAACCGCCCATTCGTCGGCCAATGGGTTCTGGTACGCATTCCACCATTTACACTCGGCTTAAAATCCATCAAGGCCCCTTCCTTACTCCATTATTCCCATTCTGATTATTTTCCTTTCTAACGGTTAACCGCCTTGAGCCTCATTTTGCTTGCATCTTGGTTTGTCGGACCTTTGACAAGACGAGTTTTGTAAACCCGGTTTCGATGCAGACTCGGTTGGTGGACATCTCGCCCGCAAGTTTGGGGCGCTCCGCCAGACGGTCGAGCGGACTCTCGGCATCAATACCGGACGGACGGAACCCAACGTCAACTTTGACGACGAGGACCTCACACTGCGCGGGCAGCAAAAGTGCTCCGCTCTAGTTAAGGTGGGTCTCCGTTTCCTGGACTGACTCGAGTATGCAGTGGGTAAAGTGACGAAGTTGGTTTTGGTTGGGTCTGATTGCTGCATCTGCGTCGCATTCTTGGAGATTCAAATCTGCAGTGGAGAATGCTAAAATGACGGACGGTGGTTATGGTTGGATCCGATCGCGGAATTTGGCGCGGCAACCTTGGACGGATCAGTGCGGGTTAAAGTACGGGTAGAATCTGCGGGTTGATGCACAGGGTGGTGTACGGAGCAGTGTACGGCTCAATGTCCAGCTTACCGTACGGCTCCATGAGTCCGGTCCCGAAAATCCAAGTTCCAGAGCTGCTGTTGTCTCCGACAGCTGTTGCTTTTCGCACATTCAAACCCCATTTGGGTGCCGACAGGACCAGTCTCCCTTTTGCACGCAGATCTGACGTCCTTGTCCACCTAGTTGACGTCAGCGGCCAATAGGCTTTGACGTTGGCGTCCTGTTGGCTTTGGCCAGTGCTGGACTGAAGGCTTTTGGGTGTAAGGAAGGATCATTAAAGTGCTTGATACTGACATTTTTCTTTTGCAGGACATGCCCGATTTGAAAGCGTTTGGTTGCAAGCGTAAGGAAGGCATTGTGTGCGTTCTATGTTCAGTATCTGCTCCCACCAAATGTGCTTAAATCTTACACATTCCTCTTGCAGGTCATGCCCGACTTCTCCGAGATCTTCGTGGCACAGGCGGCGTTCTCTGGTCTTGAGGAGCTTCTCCGGATTTACAAGTAAGCGCCACGTGTCGCCGTTTTGATGGCCGCCTTTCGGCGAGCAGTCGGATGAGCAGAGGGGTGTTGGGACCGGAGGGCCCTTCTCTTACCTTCTTGTACGCTTCTCCCTTATGTAAACGGGGCCAGAGTGTGCTTCCTCTCGTCGAATTTACAGTGAATTCGAATTCTGGCTTGTACGGGGACTCTGCTTTGTCCACCCTTTACATTTCGAATGCAACTCTGATCAAAAGTCTCGATTCATAGATGCAGTCCTTGCCCCTTACACTGTCATTGGCGAGGCAGCAGCTAAAATGCTGTTACAAGAAGATGAGATTGCGCGGAAAAAGGAGGAAGAAGGTGCATTGACATTTCGGAGTGCGCCTTTTCGAATTTGCATGGCAGCTCATATTCATCTAACTGTCGTTATACCGAGTCCTTGACACCGTCCGCTCTTTCCAGGCTGTACGACTTCGCGTTCCACACGACCGCCAAGTCCGCTGACGTCATCCCCGGGCGGCGCTCCGCCTTCTCGTCGTACCCCGCCCACGTCATTTCGGGCGACGACTTCTACCTCATCAGCTCGGGGATTGTCGCCGTCGAGACGACCATCGGGACTTTCAACGACGATCTTTACCGGAATGGTATCACACCGGAAGGATCGGTGAGCCGGCGTGGGGTTCTTAGGATCCTTTGTAGAAGGTTTTGATGCAGGTTTTCAAACATGCAGGATTTGACGTGCTTGATGTTCGCGGAGGATCCTCTGGGGTGGCATAGTGGTCGACAGTATGGTCCATAGCAGGACGAGGAGGCTTGACAGATTTGCGTAACGTTGTAGAGTAGTTTGTGGAAGGTTTTTGTGGAGTGTTTTTGTGGAGTGTTTCTGAGTAGCGTTTCTGTAGAGGTTCTCGTGGAGTGCTTTTGTAGGGTGTTTCTTGCAGAGGTTTCGGATGGAGTTTTGAAAATACTCGACGTCTTGGCGTGGTTTTGATCGATGTCGAATGGTCGGCTGTGCTTTTGCGCCTTAGAATCGCATGGCGATAGCGCCTGGTAATAGAATCTGGGACTTTGTAACCAAGGCCGAAAGACCCTGACGTAATCGCTTGGACTTTGTAACCAAGGCCGAAAGACCCTGACGTCATCGCTTGCCCCCTCCGTTGTACGGCTTCGCCCCTACCTTCCAGTTCTGCCGAGTGGCTGCGCAACATTGTCGTCAAGCGTTTGGTCACGAGCGCCGCCCAGTGGATCTTATATCTTTCCTCGGCACAACAGCGAGATCATTGCCCAAATCACGTGAAACCATCCAAACCTTCCAAAACCTTCTGCTATGTACTCAGGTGCTGCGCAACAAGGTGGCCAAACAGCTGACGACCAGTGCCGCAGAATTTTCTCGCAGCACAGCAGCGGGCCTTGAGAAAAATCCCATGCTTCAAGTCGAAATCGACATCAAGAACCAAAAATCACTCCTTCTTGGTCTTTGAACACTCACGCAACATGGTGGCCAATGGGCTGGCGACCAGAGTTGCAATTGGACCACTATTTCCTTGAACAGCGGGACTGACATTTATCCCCCAAATTAGTAATGTTGACTTTGTATACCCCTATCTTGCAGGGTTTCGTGTGGCTTCGCAAAATGGTTGCCAATCGACTTGCCGCCCAGTGGACATCCATTTTTGCGCAGCACAACAGCGGGACTTGAAACAACTCGACTCTTTAAGTTGGAAATTGAGAGCAATTTGACAGCAGAAATTACTCTTTCCAGGTGTTTGAGTGGCTGCGCAACATGGTTGCCAACCGGTTGGCTACGAGCGCCGAACAGTGGACGTCCATCTTCTCGCAGCACAACAGCGGGACTTACAACAACCAGTGGCTGATTGTTGACTTCAACCTGTTCGAGCCGGGAGAGCCGCTTAAGGACGGGACATTGTATGTTTTGGAGCAATATCCGGGGTGAGTGTGGATAGGTTCGATTGCTTTTCCCTTGCTGGGACGCTGTTTTACTAGAGCAATACTGGGGGTGGGTGTCGCTCTTTTTCACAAATTTGCCTGGAGTGATGCTATTTTCGTATGACACATCGTTGAATACAACCTGTTCGAGCCGGGAGAGCCGCTGAAGGACGGGACGCTGTTTGTGCTGGAACAGTGCCCGGGGTGAGTGTGAATAGGTCCGACGCTTGTATTACCGGGAAGAGAGCGTTTCGTCTTGAGTACTGTATTTCCAACAAAAGCCGTGTCCAGTGTAAGCTTTGTACTTTATCATTTTTTGTTTCTGTCTCGAGTAGACGTTACTCTTCAGAGTAGGCGTTACAGGTGTTCGCGATTTTAAGTGTGTCGAAGTTGAGCGCAGTTTGGCATGCAGATGCTGCCTGCAAAATTGGATTATTTGCTAGTCTTTGTCACGATGACGAATGACAAAGTTGCTCAATGGAGTTGGTCGTTACCACTGATAATTGCTCTTCAGAAGTACCGTTCTGCTCCTTTTGGTACTTCGGACAATGCTTCGGACAATGCAGGAAGGTGCTTATCGAACGAAGCTTTTGTAAAAAGTGCAGACTACTTTTGCTTCGTTGGGCCAAGTTCTCGACGCTTAGGGTTTGGAACGGCGAAGGTCAAATAAATTGCAGTATCATAGTCCCAAACTCCCAACTGTCCTGCAGACTTTTTCATTAAAGAATTGCCGCGCAGGGAGTTTTCGTAGTTGCTAAAGAACTGGTTCTCTCCGGTTTAGAAGATCAGAACCAACGTAACAGCGGACTTTGCTGTTGCCTATTTCTAAGCTTGACAAGAAAAAGCCATTTTCCCTGTCATCTTGATGATATTATTGGTCACAAATTGCCCCATAACGCCTGTCCCTCTCCGCAGATACATTGCTGCGTACGACGCCACTGAGGAATTGCGGACGGCGAATTACTTTGCCAGTTACAACACCCCGCACAATAAGACGGCCTACGAGCTGGCAGGCTATCCGGCAATGGGTAAGCACATGCATTTCCGTGCTTTTAACAGAACCCACGCACTAAAACCATATTCAAATTGTTGGCCTTGGCATAGGTTTTCGGCTCAAGAAAACCTAGCTTCTGGTTGAAGTCTTGGCGCTGTGTTGGGAGGCGCCACCGGCTTGTTTGTTTCTCGCTAGCTTCACTCAGCGCACCAGACAGGAGGTTCTTTGTCTGTTTGTTTCTCGTCCTTTCACTGGCGGTAGTCCTCTAAACCTTGAAACACTAGAACGTCATTTCCAACTGTTCGCGGTTTCTCTTGTGCCCACCTTTGTGTCGCTCTTTGGAACGGTCGCATCGATTATCTGCGCGAAGTCACTGCTTGACGCCCCTGCTCGTCTCGCACCGGTCACTATTTCGTTGCACCTTTTGCTAAGCTTTGGAGGGCCTTGATTTCAGATTCCAAGGGCTTTCTACTCCCCACAAAATTTGTCGAAGAGTCCAATTTTCGACAAGGGAAAGTCGACCGAGAGTTACGCCAGCCCTAATTTTGCAGTCCTCATCCATCCTGCGCAGTGACGAAGTTTGGCGACTTCTACACCGTCGAGAACAGCCCGCGGGCGCACCTCTTTGCGCGGGAGCACGTCAAAGTGACGGACATTGACTCGTTCAAGCACACGGTCCGCTACAACGATTTCAAGAACGACCCCCTCGGGCGGTGTGCCAATTGCACCCCGCCTTATAATGGAGGTAAGCGTCGTTACCTTTGGGCCATGATCCTCTTTCTTATGGAAAAGCACTGTGGAGTTTCTGGCTCGTTTCTAAAAGCTGCTTCTTAGGTGTGCTTCTTAGGCACTCTTAATTTCTGCCAAATCAGGCCGCCTTCAAGGCGGTATTCAAGTGAAGTTGCGTTCGACCAATGATCGAATCAGAGTATCCTTCCCCTCAAAGATGAATACTGTCGAGAAGCAAAGTCTGCACTGATCTTCAATAGCAGACCCCGGCTTAACTTGGCCGAGAATTCTCGAGGGCGGTTCGGGGCGGAGCCAGTGTTTCTTGAAGCGGACGTGACGTCGTGCTGACATCAGGCCGCTCTCGTGCTTCCCGTCCAGAGTTCGGCATCTCCTCGAGGGGCGACCTGAACGTCGCGAACGGTTCGTACCCCTTCAAGGCGGTCTCGCACCGGGACCATGCCAGCCTGGACGCCAAGGTCACAAGGTGGGTAGTTAAGTTTGTAGGTTAGCGAATCTTGTAGCTAACCAAGGTGGAGCAGGGTCGGTTGATTGTCCTTACAGGTCTTCACTCTTTGTGCTGTCAGCGAGCAGGTGATGAGCGGTTTAGAGTGGTCCGCTCGTTATCTTATCAGGCTCTGTGAATCAGGCAAAATGACTGCAAATGTTCTGTGGAAGGGAAAGAACCTAAAACAGAAGCTTTACCTTTTTAGTTAGGGTTTGGGCATCATGATGATATTGCCAATGATACAAACCCGGTGACGATTCACGCATGGGTTGCGTCCCGACCGCATTCAAACAGGATCCAAGCAGGTTTTTTAAAGCTCCTTATGAACCAGGCCGCTTTCTTGTTCCAGTTCTTATTCAAGCGCTTCGACCGCAGCCAGGGTAGTCGAATCCCATTTCGCGACCTACATTTTGCAGCGACTTTTTGCACGAGTATCAGAGTGACCCCTTACTCCTGCTTTCGCTGCCCTTTGTCACTCGACGAGTTGGACCTTTTGTGCTGCGGTGCTTTTCCTCGAAGATTAAGCACGGGGCCTAGTGAGCTCCAACGCGAGAGCGCTTTGAGTCGATCCTATTCACTGGACTCTAAGAGCCCGTTCGCCTGATGCTTATCATTGCTGCTTAGTCAAAGCTTAAGCTAACCCGGTGTTCCTTGTGCGCAGCGGTGCCTTTGTTGAGCCGTTCTGCAGGTTAATGCCGAATTAGTTGAACGTCGTACGGAGCTGACGACCCCTCCAGTCGATCGAGCTGGCTTTACTTTCGTTGATTAGTCCCAGGCTAAGCTAACCCGTTGTAATTGGTTATATTAACCCGGTATCCCTTTCCCGCAGCGGTGCCTTGTTCAAGTCGTTCTCGAGCATCGTGGTAGCCGGTCCCACGTGTGACCAGCAGCCGCCTTTTGATTGGTCCACGTCAGACTTCAACTATCTCCCACACCAGGTGCGCTGCTCTGCTATCTGTGTTACTTTTCTGCGGCGAAATCAGGGCGCCGAATCGGGCAGTATTGCTGTGACGTCAACCCAAGCGGTGGCGGCGGCAGTTGCGAGACCTGTTTTTTGGAACGCTTGTCGAAAAGCTTGTCGTTCAGCTTTGTCCTTTGACCAAGGAGGAGATGGAATGCGACTTCACACGTTTCATTCTGCGTCCTCTAGGTTCACCCAGATCCCTGGTCGTGTGGGGCTGTTTGTTCTGATCTCGGATGTCTTTGGCTTCCTGCTTATCAAATACATATTTCCTCAGTCCCTCATACGATTCCTGTGTTTTCGCACAACGGAATCGGCCCAACCGTGGTTGTTCCGCAGATGGGTTGCTTAGAGATCGCTGCAAACTGCTATTTACGAAGCAGCGTTCGGCACAAGTTCTTTGCAGATTCACATTGAAGTTCCTTGAGCAGCCTTATTCAAAAGGGTCGATTCCTTGCGTGCTGAGTGTTGCACGGCTTCTTTTGCAGGGACACGTGACGGAGTACGCCTTCCCTTGGGTGAAGGTCGATTGGGAGGGCTTACGCGGGGCTACGTTGACAATCAACTCCACAGCATGTTCTGCTTACTAGTCAGGATCCTTTGTTGTCCACAAGGGTGCGGTAACATTCATGTCATTTTTTCAGCGCTGCTAAGGTTATTGACGACTCTTGATGGAGCCTTGGTGATAGAGCGAAGCTTTAAGGTTTGATGATAATTGCTTGATCTTCTTTACCCTGAGCCACGTTGAGCCATCGGGCCGTTGATTCTTGATGCAAGGCTTGACTCAACATTTTCGTTTGGATGTATAGATATAAGATCGTGAACAGACTAGCAGGGAAACTAGAAGCGGGCATCAGTGAAAGGTGACGTTATAGGACCATATTGTACTTGAATCGCATTTCATTCAGGGCAGATGCACAAACAGAACTAACCCGGACTTGGACAATAAAGGGAGGCCTTAGTATAGGAAGCCGGCCGTGTCAATCAAGTGTGTGCATGTAGACACTAAAAGTTAGCAAATGGACTTTTTAGCCCTAATTTGAACCAATATGCATTTATGTAATCAAATTCGAAAAATGGCACTCTACAAATCAATCAGAGCTAGCGGCCATTGATGCACTTGGTCAACGACTCAGCCTGCACTAGCCCAACGTGGCATTTAGTGTGCATGCCAGGACGCGCGCGGCGTGCCTGTGTGACTCATGGTGGATCCTGTGGCCGGATCTCTAGAGCTAGCCACCGTCGGTCCATGCCATGTCATGCTTCAACCCTATTGAGGTCACATAATTCGCGTCATGCATGCATGTCAAAGTTCTGCGAGCCACATATTTTCGAACTCATGCTTGTTGGGTGCTATTGCAACTTTATAAGCAACTGGCATTAGTATTGGAACACTGTATAGGCCCGAAACATAAAAGCTATATAGATGCAGCCCCAATATTCCAAACCTCATTATACTGCCTGGAACGTCCTATACATCATGCATGCTAAACTAAGAGAGCGGGAGCGTGAGGAATGAGAGATATGTGCCTATATATTCATATCAACATGGAGGATTTCTATGGCCTGCTGGCAGCTGCTTCCATCCACTTTGCCAGCTACGCAGGCTCAATCATGCGGTCACATGCATGCCAATCACAACTTCGAGGTGGATCATGATTCAACGATTGGGATCGAGAACATATGATTCTGGGATCGTTTTTGGCACTAGCTTGAATCTAATGCAATTCTTGTCAATCTGAATATTTATATGATGGCAAATTTGAGGAACTTGAGTCAACTTATCAGAATGTACATAGAAACTCGAGCTAGGTCTGACGTGGTATCTCCTTCAAAGTTTAGACCGTAGGATCCTGAGGGATGACATTTGCAACCCGAAAAACGTCGTTTGTCTAGCTAGCACGAGCTAGGTAGCTCTCTCTCAGATCAACGCCTCAAGTCTTTGGATTAAAAATCCAGTTCAGCCCCTCCAAAATTCGAGCAACTCGGAGAAATGCCAACTGCTTATACTCGTATTTGCCTGTATTGAACCAACCGCGAGTCTGTATGATTTGCCAATGGGCACCGGAATGTCTTGCTTTGGAGAGGCATGCCATGACATTCTGGTCTCTTTGTTACTTGGCTACCTTGGTAAGACGCCGCTTTGCAGGAGCGCTTTGAAAGCTCCATGGAGAAGAGTACGTAGCGGAGCCCGAGGAGCGAGCAGATGACGTCATCTGCTTTGATGCCAACGTGGCACCTCGAAGCTGGCGCCCCAAGTTGGATATTGAGGCCTTCAACTGTTCGAGGGAGCTTGTTTCCCTCTCTCAAATATGCCAAGCTGTAACCTGCATGGAGTCACCAATCGTCAGTAAGAACATCGTAAAACACCACATCAGAAGTTACTCGCTGTTGAGACGCTTGCACATCACTGTACTACTTGCCAGCAGGAGACAAAGGAAAGCCAGCCAACCTGCCTGTCCTGAGAGTCCATTGGAACAACGCAGCGTTAGGAAAGCCTTTCCTAGAATAGCAACCAGAATGGTAGGATCCTTTTCAATCATTGCAATCAACAATTTTCAAGCAGGCTATCATCACACCCAATCGAGTATGACCTGATGATTCAGAAGTGACGGCCGCGCAAGCAGGCACCCTGGGAGCGTGCACTACGAGCAAACCCATTTAGGGCTGGTTCATCCTTTGGAATTCTAGATCACTACGAGCAGCTGGAGACGCAACCAATGTGGCAAGAGATCTAGCTTAAGAACATAAGTTTTTGAGCATCGTTGAGTCATGTGTCTCACATGGTTGGAAAAAAAGTCATCCAACAAGCAAGCAGGCCCCTAATGGGTTCAGCATTGCGTTGCCAAACCACTTTTGAAGTTGAGAGGAATCTACACAGTATTTGCTTATAGAGCCATAAACAGGTAATCTGAGCATGTAGGCCCACATACAATTCCAGGAAAACCAATGATTACGCTCACCTCTCACTCATCCCGCTCAATATACTCCTGCACTTTGCGGTCCAACGTGCGCAACTGGGATCTGGTGAACTCCCGTTGACAGTACGGCCCTCCTCTTACACGATTAATGCCATGCCGAGCCATGAAACTGAGCGTGAGATCGAATTCATGCTGTGAGTATCTATTCCTGCACCTGATCAGCGCAAAGACTGGCCGATGCATCTTGGTCCATTCAGAACCTTCCCCTTCGAAATGCTGACTCAGACGCAGTGAAAGATTGTCTGTCTTCCCAATGTAGTAGCAGCCTCCCTTCAGTTTCAAGGCGTACAAGTAGGCCATGACTGGAGCAGGTCAGCAAATCCTGCGCCTATCGACCGACTTAATCTGCCCTTTGGACACCTTAGATGTAAATTTGTAGATATTGCGCGCTTTTGGTGATTATGTATTTCCGTTGTTTGTTGCAATGAGGCATTGCATATATTGCATAAGATGTAAGATCCTCTTACATGAGGATTAAAGTTGCTGCGTGAGTTATCTGGAGTATGGACGTCTGCTGGTCCCGTCTGCTCCATTGGCATCTAGATGTTCTAGATGAATGCGCGTTTTGCGGGAACGCACCGTTACGTGACCAGGGCACATCGACGGCTACTATGCCCAAACTCTTCTGAAATGGACGACTCAGGTCACCAGTGCGCTGGTTTGGTAACCACCACTTGACTTGCAGAGCTCAACTGAAAGCCAACCTTTGAGAACTCGAAAGGTGAGCACTGAGCATCCCGTGAGGATGAGTGATACCAGATTGTCATTGACAGGACATGACAATGAAAGAGAACCATGCTTTCTCTAAGAATCTATTTTATGCCCCGCTGGCCCCCAGCACACTGCTTCCGTTCTCTACCAATTCGTTGGTAACAGTACCCGCATATATGCCCCCCGCATCATGCTGAAGCTTACGACTTGAAATGATGAAAGCCAAATTCCTTAGGCAGCTCTCGCAATACTCGAAATTTGTCATCAATTATGGAGACCTGGAAGTCGGTTACTGAATCTACAAGCTACACTAGCTAGCTGATATGAAATTCTAGTGGACAATTGAATTGAATACGCATAAATTCTGTCTCGTGCAGAATTCTTGATTGTTGTATACGAGTACATGTAGGCATGGTGATGCATGCTGCAATGCGATCGAGCTCAGAGGAGCAATATCGTACTGCCATGACCATGAAGAACATGCCGCCGGTGCCAGGCCGTCCTTGTGCAACCTGAAGCAATTTAAGGGTATTCGAGGTCTCTCAAGCGTTTGAGCAGATCAACTAGCCGGCGTGCAACTATAGCGGACTCAAGAACTCATCATGCATCAAGTTTCTCTGATTTTGCGTAACCATAGAATTGTCAACATCATATAGAAGTTGCAAGGATCCAAAGGGATTCTCTCAGCATTTTTGCTGACACACCACCTGAACCGACCAAACCATCAAGCCAACAATGCCTCATGCACACTCGCTTTGCATGCGGTCTTTATGACAAGCTGCAAAACAGGAAGCATTTGCGACAATACCACTCATTCATGCATAAATATCCGTGTGCCTATGTCCGACACGATCCAATCAAACCCTGTCAACAATCCGTCACCTCCAACCGCGCTGCACCCTACAATTTTCCAATGTCGGCTACCGTCCATCAAATCCAGTTGCAACACTTTTGCAATCTGTTCAGGTCGGAGAGCCCCCGTGATGTCCTGCTTGTTCGCAAAAATGAGAAGTGAAGCCCCTGCAAGTTTCTGCAAATGAATCGAGAGGCGGAGTTGGACTCTGCTGAGAAAGGTGCCGGAGGACCGGTCCACTTGGACAACCAGAAGCAGGGTTTGACGACCTTGGTCGCATGCTGCTGTTGCCACGTAAGCGAAGTCAAGACAAAAGAAAAACACAGCCGCCCTACCAGTTGCTTACAGAGAAATTTTCTGACGTCCTATCCAAAGGGCTTCCAATTCCGCTATCACTTGAATAGATCAGATGAGGGCTTGGGTACAGTACGATAAAACCTTCTGTTCTGGCAGTCTAAAAGGTTGGAAGATCGAGCTGACCGATTGAAAATACACATTGCATAGACCTGCCAAACCTGCACCGTCCAATCTAGTCCAGCCCTCAGCAATCTCCTCAAACTTTCACTACTCCTTGGTTCCTATTCTTCTCGTGAGAGCCTCGTGGGAGCCAGGTTTGACCGGATCGAGGCTGATGCACGAGTCACAAACCGATCTCCACTTTCAGATGCATGCATTGGTTGGAACAAGATTGGCAAACCCGCATCAGACCCACGGTGCTTCGTGCTTACCTCCTCCTTCAAGAGGCCGTGGAGCTCCGCACGGCAGTCATCGAGCCGTCTTAAGTCCGAGCTGTCGACCACCCAGATCATGCCGTCCGTCTGCTCATAGTAGTTCCGCCAGTACGCTCTTAGAGTCTTCTGTCCGCCAACGTCCCAGATGTTCAACCGGAAACTGGACGGAAATGCATAAATCAGATTTATTTCCTGACAAGTTGCTTCTCAGACTCGGATACTAAACGAAGAAAGGATGTCAAGCATGTAAGAATCGTTTTGATCTCGACTAAAAATCATGTGAAACAACCTTCTTGAGTATTGAAAACAGGGTTCGAAAGCAACCCGAAGATGAGCCCGGAGCCGCCAGGGGACGCCCACTCGAGATAAGCGGAAAAAAGTCGGAAGTTGAAAACCAGTAAGGTTTCAGATGTACCAGAGGAGAAAGCGCCCCAAGTACGCAAGAAGTAACGATAACAGCACTGAGCGTACTCCTCTTCAAAAAGCACAGAAGTAGAAACATGGTAGTTGTGAACAGGCAGCAAACTAAAAAGCGTCACCTGAGATTCACGTAAGTTTCTCTTCCAACAGTTGGTAAAGAAAATGAGCTCGAAAAAGAATTAAGCTGTTGCTTGGCACAGGTAACCTTTGCATTCCTCAACCTACTTGACAAGTTGAGGGAGTACCCGAAGGCCGCTGCGGGCGCTGCGGGCTTCTTGCCCACAAATTACAGAGCACGAAACGCTTTGAACTATGTCCCGCCAGCCTTCAAAGAAGATGCTAGGAAAGTCTGGGAAGGCTGCAACTAAGTCATTGCCAGGCGCCTAGCTGGTGAAATGATAGACCAAACCTCCCTTGCAAGTCACCTCTAGAGCCAGACCTTGATGACAAGGTTAGTGGTTGATACAATCACAAAGGCAGCAATTCCATCATAGTCACAGTGGAATCTTGACGAGGCCATCCCGAACTTTGAAAGCATTCTCAATCAATGAAAAGCTTTGGGATTCTGCAAATATACCCACAATCTGCACCTCTTCCATCCTGACCGGCGAGCCCAAGCGTGATTGTCTCCGCAGCATGTCTCGGGCTTATGACAATTTAAGTATGGGGGCCAAAGCTTCCCCTACAGGCAAGGATAATGCCAGCGGTGCTCGTATGTGACGGATTGCTTGATCGGTTTACCAAGAAAATTCCCCCCATTCAAGAGCGAAGAAAAGGAGGATAAAGCTTGACCATCGAGAGTAAAAAGCGTACTCAAGGTGGTGGATCTAATTAAGGACTGGGACGCTATACCAACAATCATATCATACTTTTCAGTGACTGGTTCAGAAGGACAAGAGCTGCAGCGTGCGTGGCTTCGCCACTGGCAAGCCCTCTCAAAGTGCACCTTTTCAGAGCTGAAATACGAGCATGCACTGCAAGCCCAAGGCTTGACTTAAGCATTTCTTCAAGACATTGGTTCTTATCCTCATCAGCAAAATATGAAGGTCAAGCACATTTCTCAAGAAAGAAAAGAAGCTCTGCTTGAGATCCTGTGACGCACCACTCAATCAAAGCTCAAACAAGGCACTTAAGCCAGACTGTTACTCACTTTTTGTATTGCATGGTCTTGATGTTGAAGCCAAGAGTAGGACTGATGGTACTGGTGTCTTCACCGTTTATCCGCTTGACAATCGTTGTCTTGCCAGCATTGTCAAGGCCCCTGTAACAACAGTGGGTGGTTTGAGCTCTCTGTGACCACCTGAGAATTGGCTCAGCAGCATAGTTGGTTGCTTCCAAACCCTAATTTGACAATTGTGATCCTCCAAATCCAAGCAAACCTGGGAAGGTGCAAAAAGCAGCCGGCTTAATCATAGTCAGTCGGTCAGGGAATCCTTACACCATCAGAAGGCGCATCTCCTTCTCCTTCTGCTTCACCTTCTTGATGATGGTAAGCAGGCCCATTTTTTGGACGAGAATGTTTTCTCCTCAAGCCCTGCGGATAAGCAGCATGATTCCTTATCCAGATGAGAGCTGCTGTTCTCAGAAAAGCGGAGCAATCGATGCAAGGCCAAACCTCAGCTTTTTGCAACTCTAAGCGCTGATCCAGCTGTCCCAACCAGCTATACTAATAGCCTGAGCTCAGGTATCTCTGTGGGAGCTAGCTGTAGCTGTACCTGAGTACCGGTGGCAGCTTCAAGTTCAACTTCAACTTCAAGTTCAAGCTAGTTCAAGGCTCACCAGCAGTACCTAGGGGTTAGGCACACGTTGGGCAGTACGAGTTTGAACGGCTCGGATGCTTTTGGAAACAACACGTCAGCTGTATTCGAATTTTGGAGCCGTCGATGAGTGATCCGTGACTCAGAGTGATCCCCTTCAAAGTGGACTTCGGGCCTCTGCGACTCAGCTGCAAAATGGACAAAGAAGACAGTTGTAAAATTGCAGTGTTCACATTATCTCGAGTGAAGGCGCTCTGACATGGCTTTGACATCAAGAAGTTGTCCACGTTGCTTGTTTGGTGGGCCTGCCACCACCAGCTCGCCAAAGAGCCTTCGTCAACCTACCGTGGGGCGGCCAGCACCATTTCCTGCATTGCGGTGCTGGGATCGAGCGCCAGCATCTACGGGGCAGTGTCGCCAACACCATATCGCACCGTGGATTCCTTTGCACGTGGAATCCAGCAGGGTGCTGAAACGTGGTCGAGCCAATTCAGCCGGTTCCTCGTACAAAGGTGGCCTGTCATACTTGGGGTTCATGTGTATGTTCATCTAAAAGGAACCAGCTGGGTAGCATTGCACTTTGGAAATGTTATCTAAGGAGGGACAGCTTTGGGAGAGAAGCCTTGGAAGACAATTGGCGCACCGTGCTCGCGCATGTGACCACAACTAATCAGATGCATCTGACAATTCATGAATCCATTCTCAAAGCTTGCGCGTCATTACATTTCAGAAGCAACTCACTGTCCTGTCAAAGTCTTAGTTGTACATCAAAGCAATTGCCATGCCCCTTTCCAGACCACCAGTGCAGCTGGATACTTCTGCAGCTCCTGAGACTGCTGAAGATGCATTTGCTGCATTGATAGCTCTCTCGTGAGAGCTTTGTACGTCTTTGCTCACAGGTGGTTCTATGGACGTTTCCACGCATGCAACTAGAGGAGAGGCGCTTGCGGCAAGTGCAAGTAAGGAGGAAGACGGTTTGGAGAACATGTTGCGGCAAACTGGGTGGACGAAGGTGAAGCAGCTGACAGTCCAGGAGCATTGGCAGTGAGTCACCAATGCATTGACTCTACTATCCAGACACCTTTCCATCCAATCCTGGTTCAATGTCCTCTTGACCAGTTGTTGGTCTGTGTTCATTCAGGCCACCTTTTGGCCCTTTACTGAGTGGTTAGGATCAAAAAGTTACTTGAAGTGCCTGAGGTGATTGTCAAACTTGATCAGGGACACCGTGCGCTCTCCCATAGCTTCTGCCTTCCTGCATACATTTGCGCAGGGAAGAGACCGGCAGCTGCAAACACAATTCCTCCGGGATGCAAATGGAGCTCTGTAAAGTCTGTTTGAAAAGCAATGGAGGACAGACCTCCCTGTTTGTTGTCTCTTCATTGCTTCCCTAATGTATAGGGCCATCACAGTCTTCTAGGGGACTCTTGTGGCTCAAAGGCCCTTTTAATACAGTCAAAGAGTGCTGTAGATGCAACCACTGCAGGTTGAGTGACGCACACAAGAGGAACTGGCATGGCCAGTGGACGCGGTACATTGCAACACCCTCCGAAACAGGTGCATATCCTCTTTGGAACACTCCCTTGCTTGCTGAAGAAACTGTTGCAATTCTCTCCGACAGAGACACAGATAGGACCCTGACTTTTGGGATGATCACCGGCCTGGGGCCAGTTTATCCTGTTGGTGGACTTTGCTAGCAACTTTCTGGAAGGCCGAGGGAACCTCTGAAGCTCGCTCACGGCTCTAAAGCTTGAGATTACGAACTTTGTTCTGTCAGTGTGGCGCAACTCAGCCTTGAAGTGAGCTGTGTGACAAGGAGACGGAGCGGATATTGAGTTCCCTTTGATTGGTTTGGTTGCAGGGGCGACGACTTACACGATCCAAGAGAACAAGTACGGCATCCGAAACATTGAGTGGGCAAACGCAGAGAAGACAGAGACGTTCCATCAGAACCACTACTTCAGCGAGGTGAGCTCTTTGAAAAACTGCGCATCAGTTTCGTACGTTCGGGGCTTCCAAACGGACAGGTTTTCAGTATCAAGACATTTCACTGCTCTCCCGATTACGTTTGTTCTTCAACTGCTTACGACTTGTCATACGACTCCTGCCTGAGCTTAGCTGTGCCTGAATTCCAGTTTAAGATACTGGTCTTCAACATGTGCTGTCTCACTTTCGTTAGACAAGCATTGCACTTCGCAAAACTCCACGCTTATTTCGGTTGCGTCGATGGTCGTTTCAAGGTTTCAGGTCCATAGCAAAACTTTCGGATCTCGACGAGGTAATCAAGCGGCCCACCAATCCGGTAACATTGATGCTACTCATCTGAATTAGTCCTTCGGGAATTTTGAGAGAGCTTTAGCTTCTTCCGAAGACGAACTCTCTCAATAAGGAACTGAGAACCTGACCGGTATGGGTCCCAACATTCGAAAAATTCATTTAGTGTACAACTGGGAATGTGCTCAGAGACGACCTTTGGTTCGGAGTTTCATCTGATCAGTTCCAAGCCCAGAGGTTTACGTTAACCCACAGGGTTTTTTGGCGGTTAACCACATTCGGTTACGGGCTGGTTCGAAGCTGGTTAACTGTCCAATAACCAGACTCGAGCAGTAACCAGGTTTTAAGCGTGGCTATAACGCGGTTACTGACCAAAGAACCAGACTGAAGTTTGGTTATCGAACCTGGTTGGCAGCCAAACCTTCCTGTGACCTGGGAAAAGTGCCATCTTCCTTGGAGGTACGCCGATAGCTGTTTCGACGTCCGAGTAAGAACACATTCTAGTACGACCCGCGACTAAAGTGAAGTCTCCCGACATCTCAACGGCAGACCCGTCTCTGATTACTTTCAAACGCTGAAAACTCTTCCTTCACAACTAAGAGAGTGCGTCAAAAAACCGGCCCTCTTGAGCGACCACGTCGCTAGGGCTCCGCTCCGGCGGTCGCTCAAAAGAGCACGGGATCTAGATCTTTGCAGCGACACTCAAGTCACATCTCACAGGCTGTGTGTCGCTGGGAAGCCACGTGGGCGAGCGCCCTCTCTAACGACGATCCTCTCTTCCATCTACGACAAACAAATTCGAAAATAACAAGAGCCAGGTATGATAAGCTCCAACTAACATTAAAACCCTAACCCAACAGATTACGTGCTCCACACCCGTACCCACCCTAACCCCCAAACTAACCGCACCCGTCCCAGCCTGGCGATCTTATTGTTCCTGCCGCTTTTTAATGCTGATTTAGTCCGAGCTCTTCCATCTGGTCCAGGACTTCGCGCCCCTGCGGAGCGCTGGCCCGTGGACTAACACGGTCGCCGAGAGCACCCCTGAGGGCGTGACTCACGCCGCCTCTGCGGCGGCGACCACGCTCTATCTCCCGGGCGGCAGCGCCGTGTGGGCGTCCAAAGCCGTTGATCTGAATGCCAAGCCGTTCAGTTTGGCCGCGGAGCTGTTTCTAAGACCAGGTTGGTGTCTGGCCGTCAGTCTCTGCTTTCAGTTTCTCCAGTTTGATTGGCTGTCGACCGTTTCCTCTCGGTGTTGGTTCTATCATTCGTCGTCGTGTGACTGCTGAGCTTTTTCTGAGGCCAAACCAGATGTGCAAGCTACCAATCTCCATGTTTCGCGCCAAAGCACCGTCGGCTCTTCTTGTGTCTTGGTCTTTGCTCTTGAATCTCATTCGCGTAACCCGAGTCCGGTTACTAAGCTTCTGAAGTGACCAAGTCTACACGCATAACCAGCGGCCAGGTCCAAATGCCCTCCGAACAAGTCGCCTTTCTTCCTGACGCAGAAATCTGAGTCCAGTTACCAAGGGGTTGAAGTGACCAAGTCTAAAACACATATTCAGCGGCCAGGTTCGCACGCCCTCCAGAGCTGTTACCTCTTTTCCTGATGCAGACAACAACACGCGCGTCAGCATCATTCCCTTCTACAACGGCGCCGCCTTCGCCGGCGTGACGCTGGTCCGCGAAGAGGCGCGCGAACCTGCGGACGCGCTCGAGCTGCGTCCGAAGAGCGGCGAGCCCTTTTGGACGTACGAACTGGAGCTCCCCTCCGGACGCAGCGACGTCGCTGCTGAGCTCATTGGCACTGAGACGCTCATGATGGGCCATGGTTTGACGTTGTATGAACGGGAGGGGAGGTTTGGGGGTTACGGGGGCGCGCAGCGTGGGGCGTCTTTGGGTTCCGAAGGTTTTGGACCGTGTTTAAATGATGCGGAGTATGTGAATGTGCGGTTGCCCGAGAATCTCTCAGTGAGGTGTCCAAAGAGAATAATCGAAGGCCAAGGGTTTGAGATGTCGGCGGTGCTCGTCTCGGTGGATGGGATGGGAGCGTCTCAATGCAAGGTCATATACGGTGAAGACTGGAAGTTGAAGGGTGTCATATATGGCACGTATTTTGCATGAAGATATGCTCAAGCTGAGGCTGTATTTTGTGGAGAATTCAAAAGTGGACAGTCTTCTATTGACGACTGCGGCTGGTTGTGGTGGTTGCATTCGTAAGCCTCGAGCCGGCCACTCATGATGCCACGTTGTCGATCAAGTTGGAAATCGGCAGCCTGGCTTGTGCACATGGTCGAATTTTCCCGGCCAACAAACTGTGAGGTCCGAGGGACAAATCCATCGTCTCCAAGATTTGCAGAAGTTGCTTCATAACCTCCTTATCTTTACTTGCAGTGCATTAGTGGCACGTGCATGCTTCACATGCTAGAGGTGAATGGCGTTACTGATCGATGTACCAGGGATACCAGATGACACCAAACCCGTCACCCTCTTTACTTGAACCACTGCATGAACGCGATTCCTAGATTAAACGATCAATCGTTATGAATCCTAGATCGACGCGGCAGCGGCCCAGCCGTTTTAGCATGTACAAATAGCTTCACATGGCCGGATGGTATACGCAGCGGCGCCGCCGCCCATGCTTTCCGTTCACGTTGCAAGCCTCAGGCTAGTGCAGTGCAAAACGCTGCGCATGTACACGTCATGTTCAATCAAAGAGTACCATCGCGGTCCATATTTAATGCAGTACATATATATGCTCAGACTAGAGAATTGATTGCATCCACGGCGGCCTGACGACCATTTGATACATCTTGCACGCTTACGTTGACATGTCCGTGCATCACGCATATCGTCATGCGCGCAGTTATGCTCAAATAATACAGGCGTACCCTTAAAAAACATTAGCGGCGGTCATTGCAGTACAAAGCACGGACTCAATGGCCGTGATACTTCATCATGTCCACACTAAACACACTCCACATCTTGTGGCCAATCTCATGCATAGGAAAGTAAGACTGTGCGATTTTAGTCACTGCAGCAGAAAAGCAAGGGGATGCAGTGCAAACCTAGAGAAAGGTTACATCAAAACAAGCCTGCGCTTTTAAAAACATTATTTGTCCTAGGGTTCAATCTGTACTGAGCAGCCTATACATTGTGCGTCCATACGTCAAACCGCTAACTGTAAATTGCGACAGGACTCGTGCCTCGTGATACTCATCTAGAGCTTCAATAGGGGATTGTCTGAACCACAGCTAACGAAGGCCGCAGCCCACTCTCGTTACCATCCGCACGCCCGATTGCTCTTCCAATCCCTCCCTCCACATTGTCACCCCTCAAAACCGTTCCGACGACCACAATGTGCCCTTGTATCAATTCAAGCCCAGTCATACAGACCTCCTGTTATGACTTCCCACCAAACTGCGGCTTCTTCAGATTCACGAGGTCAGCAAACAACGCATCGATGTCGTCGGCCCTCCTCTCGGGCTCCTTCTTCTGGGGCAAAGGCTGGCCCGTCATGGTCCGCGGGCCGTTGCCTCCAAGTGAGAGCCTCTGGGTCTGCGCGATGTAGTCACTCGACTGCGCGTACGACGTGTTGCCGAGGCTGCTTCTGTTCGGGGAAGAGGCCAAAAGTTAAATCGCAGTGCATAAGCTCCAAACAAATCCGCCTACGATTGTGTGAACTTGGGGATGATCAAAGCATTGAACCGACAGGGTTGTGGCAGGCAGTTGAACAACCATGGAAGGCTAAAGAAAGGACTCGCAAAGGCTAGGACGCCCGCGTGACTGAAAGTCGCAACGAATCTCTCCAGGACGCCCCCACGGAGACGGACTTCATTTTGATTCTGATTCTGTTGACTCCTTTACGGATCGACTGAGTTCACAAACACGAGTCATGCTAGTACCAGCCAAAAGGCAAATTCTCACGCTCCACAATCAACACCACAACAATGAACCTACGCACCTCCGTTCGTTCTGCTTCTCCTCTGAGGGGGGGTCGAACGGCGACTCGTTCGCCTGGAAGGTCGACCCCCCGGACAGGGGGCTCACTGGGCTGCCCCCGTAGGGAAGCGCCAGCTGACTTGGGTATGCGACGGGCGCCTGGTTATACTGCTGGTTGTACTGCTGCCCGTATGAGTTGGCGTTGTACCCAGAGGTATCATACGAGGGCGGACTGTACGGCTGGCTCGCTTTGAACGTGGGCTCAACGGACGGCTGGGCCCAGGGGGGGTTCACCTATTGGAGTTTGGAAGGATGGCTTCAGAAAAGTTTGGGGCATAGCAGGCTCGAATGGACTTATGTAACAGGGGGTGGAAAGTGACTCGTAGAACTAGTCTGCTAAACCGGGGATCTCACTCTCTGGTCTGCTAAACGGGGATCTCACTCCCTGGTCTGCTAAACCGGGGGAAATCACCCACTTAATGTAGGGAGAGCATAGGTAGGACTAAAGAAACGGCATCGTCAGCTTGGGATTCGAACGTCGTCAGTCTGAAGTACTCTCCCTCCGTTGGCGATGACTGAAAGGAGAAAATTCTCAGTGGGCAACTGGGGATTGGTAAGCATCTGGGCTTTGCAAAGGTGCGAAGTCGAGAAAATAGCCAAATGTCTCCCATGGACAGTTAACACCAGCGCTTAATGACGTCGCACGCCCGCACCAAGACGTCTGCTGACGGCTCACCTGCTGGTAAGGAGGGCTCTGGCCGGATTGAGGGTAGGACGGGCTCTGGTATGCTTGCGGACTGCTGCCAAAGGGGGGCTGCGTCTGTTGGGGACTGCCGTAAGCGGGGCTGCCAGTCTGCAGGCAGGCAAAACAATCACCACCCTTTCAAAATCCTGCAACTTTCGTGGAACTTCGCAAGATCTCATGGATGTTTTCTGGATGCGAGACATCCAGAAAGATTCTTTGATTTGTCGGAATTGAAGCCTCCGCAAACAAACTTTCTTTCAGCAAGAGAGACACCCGTGACTCAAAAGCGAGCAAGGCCAGCGCCTACTTGTCCAACACAACTATTCCTGACAAGTCTCAACAGGAATAGAGCAGTGATATAATCCAAGCTTTCTGTTGGACAATCTTCCAATGGGCATCCTTGATCCGGAAGAGAAACGCTGGTTATATCAATTTCTGGACATACTCAGGACAACAATTTTGACCATCCGACGGGCCCACTACGGAACAAGCTCAGCTTCGGGCTACTGTCAACGTTTGCCAACAAGTTCCGCTTTCAACCACTTCCGAATCTCTTCCAAATAGCTCGACTATCGTGGCGTCGCCCTGTTTTGCAGTACGCACCTGTCCAAACGCTGCGGGGGGCTGCTGCTGTTGCACCGCCTGCGCGGGGCGTGTCCGCACAGAGGCGGGGGCGTTGGGCAGGCCCCCTGACGTCGTTTCGGTGTAGCGGCCCGGGGGGGGCGCCAACCGGCCGGGTGGGGGTGCCTCTGCAATGGTTTGGCGCGCGGTCAGAAACCGGGTTAAGGGCCCTGTTATGTGAAGCAAACCAGGAGATACGTTTTTGCAAGTTCTAGTCCGCAGCAGACAAATACCCCGGGTGCACTTTGCCGGAGCCCAATGCGCCCAAGAAACTTAGAGGCGGGTTGCCAGAAGCTTGTTCTGATTCAACATTGAGAACGTCGCACATGGGGGCGCATTTGAAGCCAGCAGCCCCTCGCTCAAGCAGCCAACGCCATAAGGATTGAAGTAGGGCATACTGGCCTGATTATCAGTCTTTCGTTAAATGAGGTAGACCTGATATCGAGGCAGAACTCTCAGCATTGAGAGAAGGCAATCCAGCAAGTAAGGAACTAGAGCGGTCAGACCAAGGCATAGCCCACAGAAACGTGGTGAGGTGCAACGATGACAGACGGGACAGGCTCCTGGGAACGGGAAGGCTTCACCAAACAAACCAAGGCAAGCGACTGCGCGAGCTACACTAAAAGCTGCCCGTTTGGGAGCGCCGCTCACAATGCAGCGGATTTCGCGAAGCAAAGCGTGGAAAGTCCAAACTCGAAAGCTGGAGAATCGCGCGGCCAAAAAAGAAGGCTTCATGCAAAGTCTTACCAGTCACGGGGCTGCCCACTGAGACCGTGGCGGCGGTCGCTTGAGCTGCGGAGGGGCTGCCGACGGCGTCCACGTATTCGCCGCTCAGCAGATCAAACACCTTCTCGCGGTCGCCCGGGGGGCGGCTGATCGGGCGTGGCGCGGCGGGTGGGGGAATGGGACGGGACGAGGAGGGCTTGGGGGCCTCCGTATTGGAGGAACGCCGGCTAGACCTGAAACGAGGTGGAAAAGCGATTGTGGGTCCACGTGGAAACAATCCATGGCCGCCTTGCCAAGTCTGAGGAGGGAGAACATGCATGCAGAGGTTTCAAGGTTTGCAGACCGCGATCAACTGCTTACGGAGGCGCCTGGATGCCACGAACAATAGGGGCAACTTTACAAGGACAATCTCTTTGTGGAAGCATGGTCCTTTAAAGACCGAGGGCGAACCACGAAATCGAAAGCACGTATGGCAAAAGGAGAAACGAACCGCAGCCATAAACGACGAGTGCACAATATTTCGCAAGGTTTTTCTCCAACCAGCAACCGCTCTAACAAGATGAAGAGACTATTTAAGTAGCAAACCCACCTGTGCGCCAGCCGTGCAAAGTCGTCCTCATCTTCCTCGTCAGCATAGCTCCGCGCCTGCTGCGGCGCTACGGGGGCGCTCCGTGTGGGCTCCTCTTCAGGAATTGGCTGGCCGGTCGCGATCGCGTCGTGCTTTGCGAGAACCCTCGCTAGTTCGTCGTTGAACGTGAGCGCGGCCGCAAGGGCGGTTTCGTCGTCAGTGGAACCGACGAACTGCTCCACACGACGCTGCGCTGCACGGACTTGCTCGGAGAGGTCGACGATGAGCTCGTCTTGGACGGACTGCGGACGAGAAAGACGAAGTAAAAAAACATTTCTCACAAACATTTGGAATACGTGATGATTTTGAATCGCTGATCCGCTCTGCTGTAGAGACCAGAAGGGCCGCGCGTTGGCTCGAAGAGCTCGTCTTGGAAAGACCGCAGATGGTAAAAGATTTCCTTTCAATGCTTCGAAAGATGACAGCATTGAACAGCTGAAAACGTCTACTCTGGAGCCGAAACGGGCTCTCGACAGCTCGCTCAGAGGGGTCAACGATCAAACCCTCTGGATGAAGGGGGAAACAGCCCTTGAATGTTGTGACCCAACATTGCATGACTTCGACTTCAACGTTTCGCTTCTGAGATTCTCTCAATGACATTGACCGGTGATGGTTTTCTATATGGCGTCAGACAGGTCTTCACTCAGCTCCGGCGTACATCGAGGCACAGCTGTCAACAGCTTTCGGGCGTTGGAGACGCACTTATCACCAACTTCGGGATCACCGTGAGAGAAGTCCAGGAACAAAAGGTGTCCTTGCTTCAACACTGTTGCTGCTGCTATCTTTCAAACACTCTCCCAAGGCACGACAGCATGGCAGACATGTTGCCTGGATAGATTGCAAGACGACAGGGCAACCACCAGGTTCAGCTCTCGACTCAGGGTCATGAAAGCAAGAATGCAGTCACTGATGACTCACCGCCCGGTCTTTAGGGTCAACATTTGCCAGCATCTCGTTCAGGATGTCGGCAGCTTCCCGCGACGACTTCATCTCCTCGCCTCTGCATCGACAAATCCAAAATATGCTGAATGGTCCAGGACGCACATTGCGAATGCTGTTTTCCCTTTGGCATGAAAGTCTGTATCTGGGATTCGCATCGGGTGTCTCCCCTGAAAACTTCGACCAGAACTACTCGAAAGTTGTTAATGTCAAAGCTGCGTGTGCATCATCAGCGTGGACGACAATCACTCATACCCACGCCACCTCAACAAGAAGCTGCTCTTGAAGTCGCTAGCCGTCCCTGATACGATGAGCGAGTTCTCTTGGAGAGGCAATCGAAAACTTCGTGCCCCATGAGGCCAGGGAAGAACATGCCGAACAAACGTGTGATATGGCGCAAGATTACGACTATCCCGTATGTCAACCGGCGCCGACATCATGTCACAAGACGTCGGGCGTTCTTAGATGATGAACATACGTATGAGGCATAATAAGGAGGGACAACAAGGCAACTCCACCAAAAAGAGGCACTCACGAGAGCGGGCCAACTCCGTTGCTGACGGCAGGTGGCATGGAGGGCATCACCCCGTTCTGCGCATACGCAGCCGCCATGGCAGCGTCCTGGGCGTAAGAAGCATAGGGCCCGGAGGTCTGGGTCGCCGGGGGAGTAAACACAGGGGCCATGTGCTCCATGTCACGGTTCGGAAACATAATGCCCTTTCTCTGCAAGTGGGAAGACGATAGTCAGTAAAGGAGAGCGCTAATCCTATGACAAGATCTAATATAACACCGATGTGATTTTTGAGTTGGATCAAAGCTGCACTGCTTGTTTGCCAGCACAGTAAGCATGAACTTTCCGTAAGTACGTGACACCAGGACCAACACGATACCCTTTCTCTGTGCACGCTTGCAGAAAGGCAGTTCTCCGAAAATCTTTGACACCTAAACCACATGTCTGCTGGTTTGAGTATGGAGTCAAGAAAGGATTGTTCTGAGGGTTGGTTGGTACAGGCACAGATCCGAACCTAGAAGCTCGCAACCACCTCGACTATTTGGGTCAAAAAACGTGTCTAGAAATTGTGGTACAGAAACGGCCACCTTGGCAGAGCCATGACTGCCTGCGCCCAGGCTTGTCTGCTCTGCACTTTATGTACATCGTTCTCCCTCTAGACCCATTCGCTGTCTGCTACACTGGCATCCTTCTTCGTTCAAGCTTTGCTTGGCAGCCTCTGTGTGCGTTGGAACTGCAACCAGAGTCAGCAAACCTGAAATGCGTACATACAAGCAAAAGGTCTTTATTTGATAGAAAACACAGAGGACGCTTGAGACCCACCCTGACTTGGTCGTAAGCATCATAGAACTGGGGGTAGCGGCCACGGGCGCCTCCAAAGCTCTCCTGCCACACATCTAGCAGCTGCAGAATCTTGTCGCGGACCGCGTAGTCGGACTGTTTCAATACAGGGCGAGATCCGGGTTTTAGGCAAGTGTTGGTTTAGCACGTGATTTCTCCCGAGGATGAAATTCTGGGCTAGTACATGTGTTGTTTCAGCATGTAACTTCTCAAAGATCTGCATGAACTACAACAATATCCTCACACGCCTTGCAAACCAAAGCGCTTAAGGTGAAGCGCAAGCCAATCAATGTCGATTCACGTCCAAGTAATGGCTTTGGCAGTGGTGAAGCACAGGGCAACTCTTCCAGGTGAGAAAGGAAGCACAAACTCAGCAGACCATGATCCCCTTCTTTGATCCTCTGCGGTGGTAGAAAGTTGGACGAAGTTCGGAAGCACTTAACAAATTTGTCTAGGCATACTTGGCGCCTCTTGAGGAGTTGGAGGCCCAAGCATCTCCTTTGAGCATGCATGGCGCACCACTTAAATTCAGGGTCCAAAAGCCCCAGGGACAGAATTTCGAAGGATTGCAAGAAAAAACCTCGTGATTAGCAGACCCCCCTGGGACCAGCTCACCTTCTTTGTGACGATCTTGACCATCTCCGGCAGCAGTTCCTTGCTGTGGGCCACGTTTGCATGAAAGCCCTCCCCGCAGTTCTTGATGCATGATTCCAAAACCTGGGACAGAAAGAACGGGAGATATCAACTCCAGCCTAGTGTGATAAACTTACCAAACCATCAAATCAAGCACCGCAGTTCTTGATGCACGCCTTAAAAACCTGGGTCAGAAGAGAAAGAAAGATATCTGCCGCAGCCTAGCCTGACCAACTACGGAACCTTGAAACCAACAGACAGTGAAATCTCAAGACTGATGAACTTATGTCTGTTGCTCGAGACAATGTCCCTGCACTTTGAAATATCAAAGTCTAATGGGGTTTCAGACCGTGCAGCAATTCCATCATCCAAATCCTGAGAGCGGTATTCAAAAGACTAATGGTAGACGGCCAAAACGTTTGGCACTTTGCCATCCATCAAGAAAACATGTCTACAATACAAGCAAAGTGCCGTGCCATTTATTCTCTTCACTGTCAACTTCGAACAGTTTACCACTTCTAAACTGAACTAAAACAAGGCTTGTAACAAATCTGCAAGCCAGTATCAGCCGCACGTAAAATGCATTCATTTGATATGTTCCAACGTCTGCTTCAAAGAGAAACTGAACGAACTACCAGGTGCCCCTGACTCAGGTCAGCGGCTGCCGATAATGACAATCAAGTCTCTCCATTTACATCGAGCTGTCCACGTTTTAAGCGCAGTGAAAATGCCGGCCGGCCTTGCACAATCTTCTAATTTTACTTCGACAATGTTTCTTGACGACCTTTTATTTTGGACACACGAAACAACTTCTGCAAAAGGCTTCTGTTTTACCCGTCCAACAAAGGTAGCGAAGACTCACCGTCAGAGCTAGCAGCTGGACTTTGGGGTTCTTGCTGTGCAATCGCTTACGCACGGCCTTCACGACATCTTTGCCCCCCCTGCAAAAGTCATAGTACAACATTGTCAAGACAACATCACCTTGAAGGCCCAGATCCTTCAGCTCGTACATGTTTTGATCCAAATCTTGCTTGTTTCAGGCATGAAGTATGGAGGATTGCAGAAGACATCAACCCCGTATTTCGCTGGTAAGATTTGCAACGTTGCAGAACAGAGTGAAGCCATAGCAGTAAACGCTAAACAATTTTGAGATGTTTAAGAAACATTCCAGGCTAGTGCTTTGATCGGCCCCTTAATGGCCGTGCATTCTAGATTAGTTGGGCAGCATGTGAGAGAGCGAGTACGCCAAGATTTGGCGAGAGCCGAAACCTCAAATGCTGACCCTATAGGCACAGCAAAAAAAATTGCTGACCTCTGTGTAGCATTTTGACACGTGCTGGAAGAAGCCAACTCAACCAAAAGTCAATACTATCCATCGATCACATTACCACATTGTCACTCAACTGAAGGTCCATACTAACCACCGATCACATTGCACATTGTTGATCATGATGTCCTCAATCACTTGATACCACGATCTCATATGGAGTTCTCAGCTCTTATAACCTCCCAAAAGAACGTATAATCGGGCCAATGTGGGATGAACAATGCTCAGAAACTCAACAAAGCCATCAAAGCAAGCAGCAAAACGAACATACTACAAGGGGCATATTTTTGGGGCATAGGCATATTTTTGAAATGTCTGAAATCATAGAATCATAAAACTCAGTGAACAAATTCCGAATACCTGATCCTCAGAAAGAGACAATTCAGCAAGTGACATTGCATTGGGCTGAGTGCCAAGTCCGTCGAATGCGGCGGTGAAAGATGGCAACTGGATGCACCACTGAAAGTCAACACAGCATGCATGATGGATGAAGGAATCTGAGCACCTTGCAATTGTGAGCCAACTCCTCAATTTGGAAAAAGCAAACACTTCTGTCCCTGTGCAGACAACTAGGTAAGACTGTCTGCAATGATCAGGCAGCTTTAAAGTGGGGAAGTGCACACACTGTGATCAAGCGAGCACAACAAAATTTGAAAGTTGAATCGCAGGCTTTCCGGAATATTCTTACAGGAAATAAAGTTGGGGTTTATCAGGGTTTATTGAAACATTGCTATAATCGAAGAATCATTTAGAATTACCAAAATGTTGTTCCATGATGCATGTACAGGTGACCAGACAAGTGCGCTTTGCAGACCTGAATGAACCATTAGAACAAAGCATCCTGATACTTTTGATTCATAAACCTCCAAGCAAAAGTCCTTTGACACAGGAGCCCAACCATCGCAGCCTGGTTGGACTACAAGGGTGCCGCAACAGCAGCTCATGCGACTGCTACATAGCTCAGCAATGCTGCATCTGATGCATGAGACTTTAGTGACCGCCAATCCAAGACCTAAACACTGACAGAAAAAAGCACCCCTTTTTACGCCAGGGCAGCGCTTAACAGCAACATTCAACATCAACCTGCTACAGCTTGTTACATGGGTAAATCAAGGGAGTTCTTTGATTGCTTCTCTGGAATCGCAAGTGTAATAAAACATTCAAGAAGCTAAGCCAGCAGGGAACAAAGAAGTGGTGAGCAAAGAGAAGCCTCACTCAGGATCCCGGTTGATATGATCACAAAGGTCCATGTTCATCCCCCAGTCAGGGCCCAGCAGCAAATCACTGGTGGCCTTCTCGACCAACGACGAGATGCTAGTTCCCTGAGACGGAAACATCTTTGCCCCTGTAAGTCACCAGCCCTTGGGACTGTCTCGGCAACAAAACTAAACAACTGAACCGATTTCTCAGCGGGCTTCCAGCGCGCACTCGTCTCCTCCCTTCAAAGAAAACTCCACAACTTTTCGTTTTTGTTTTTCCAATCCCTCCTTTTCTTTAGCTCACTCAGTTGCTCAGCTTGTGTTCAGCTCAACCACCCAGGAAATTGCCGCCAGCGCCAGCTGCTGACTTGCTCAATATGCCGCCATCTTTGATGCTTGCAAGTGCTGCACAGATGAAGCTGCGAGCAAATTCTGTTCGCGAATCGTTGGTCCCACTCAGATAGGGACATGACATAAAATCGACGGCTCGTTTTTGTCGGAGTTCCTGATTGTTGCCGCGTGTCGACCATATGGGGGGGTCAGAGTGTATGTTCAAATCCATCGGACGGTGTAGAGTTTGTCGGTTGAAAGTTCGATACTACAAGTTTTGACTTAGGTATCAGATCGGTTACTATAACGGTGAGGTCGGTTTTGAAGCGGACCCGCTATGTTCAGTTCAGAGGGTGGGGGTTGAGGGTTTGCCACGACGTGGGTAGCGGGACGAGGGGGGCTTGGGGCTTTGGCCGTGGTCGAGCCGTAGGCTCGGAATATTGTGCAATAAATTGCTTAAAAAGGAATTTTTTGGGGCAAAATAAATGCAGAATAAATACTATCGGTTAGCCGGAGCGGGGGAAGGGCTCCGCTTATCCTGAGCCAAATGCTGGCCCGGGGGGGGGGAGGGCTTGGCCGGTTAGGTCCCGAGGGGCTCTGAACTGAACATAGGGGGTTCGCGCTCAAATTAAATGGACTTACCCTAACGTTTATTACTTTAGGTCAGTGCGATCGCCCGGTACATTCCGAGTTTTCACGGTTTCCATTTTAACCTCTTGTCTGTGAGTGGGACCCCGCCTGTAATGATATCCTGATGACGTCAGCATGTGAGCTATCCCCCCGAAGTCCGGCCAGACCACGTGGTGACCGCGTAGGAATGCTTGTTTGAAGTATGTCCAGAGCGTTCTGATTTGTTGACATTCTCAGACTTCTTGAGAGCGACCTTCGAAGGTCCTAGCATTAGTACAGTATGTAGGACAGGCAATCGTTGTTTCTGCGTTGTTACAAACGTGTGGCCCAGCAGTTACGTGCATTGTTGATCAACCAACTTAAAAGCCTGAGGTGTACTTATAGGACCTTTGTACAATTGAAAGTTAGCTATCACTGCAAACAATACAACGATATAGCGCATTGGATATGCATTCAATGGATATACCGTAGATGGATCCTAACCCGATCCTATAATAGGTATATGTCAGAATATAGCTGAAGCTCATATGTTTCGCGCGACATAACCGGTTCAAACCCAGCAGGGAACAGACCTACTGAAGTGTCCGAACGCTAACAAACTCGATCAGATGGTACGCAGGCAAAGGACTAATGTGATAATGATCAGTCGTCAATTAATTGTGCAAATAGGACTGTCGATATGTCAAAGCCTTTACATGTATGCATTTATCACCGTGCATGAATATTGTCAAACTATGCGCCACAATGCATTCATTAGTCGCGATCGAGCGGATAACAATGATACCAGACCTGACCCTGCCTACCGCCCAAGTAAACCTGTATGGGCCATATGACTAGCACATTGGTAGGTACCATGCAACCCCGCAAGAGAATGCCCGTTTAGAGGTGGACGTCTGCTAGCTAACAGGTTCAATCATTGACACGCGCGCACTATTGGTGCCGCTTTGACATGGTTTAAGCAGGTGAAAAAAGTATCAAGATCATAGTCCGAAGACCCTGGCTGTTCCATCGTCTGAGCCAGATAAGATGAAGCTTCCATCCCTGCATGATGAAGAACGATGATGTCAGATCATCAGAACCGCTTGGGATGGCACTCCTCAACCACCGGCAAGGGTCTTCAAAATGTGCGCGTATGCGTCGAATCTGACCTCAAAAACTTGAAATCAGCGATCAGTGTGAATTGGATTCAACGACCAAACTTAGCCGCCAAGCCGCCAAGCCCATGCATGACGACAAGAGAGGACTTTAAGCGCCCGCGATTGTAGAGGCATAGTCCCACCGTACTATCAGTAAAACGACAAGTTCAGCAGCAAAGCGACCCATTCTGATCTTGGCACAAGCACTTGATCAAAAAGAACGCGCAAAATCAGATTGCTATCAACTGAAGACGGGCCCCCAAGCTGTGAAGCGCAGGCACTTCATTGGAGACGAGAGCAACAAGTTCAGAGATTTTAACTTACGCCGTGATCGCCATGTCGAGAATGTTGTCTTTATGGCCCTCGAACTTGCGTTCGCAGTTGCCCCTCCGTGCGTCCCACACGCGGATCGCCCTGTCCAAACTGGCAGTGTAAATAAGGGGCGCCGACGGATGCCAAATGAGCCGTACGACTCCATCCTGCAAAACGTTGAAAATGAGTCGAACGCGCGTTGATGACGCATTCATCGTTCGAGAAGCACAGCACCCTTTCAATGTTGGCCAGCCAGAAGTAGAGCGGGCTTTCTGCTTTCTGTGCTTTTTGGGGAAACTATCAGGCCGCCTGTTGTATTCTTTTGGCCAGGAGAGACAAAATGTATGATGATTTGTCCTTGTATTGCGCACTAAAGGATGCAGGTGTGCTCAAAAATAGCGTGCATTCAAGGCGTGGATATGCTGAGGCCTTCTCAGTCGCCGAGAACCCTCATCACTTCTGAAGCTCCCGCCGTAATACGTTATGCATTTTTACGATGTTTTCGAAGACGAGCAATGTCTTATTGGAGGTCGCTGTCAGGCCCGGTTTCTGAACGCACCACAGCGGACCCTTATGGAGCCAAAAGAAGACAGAACAGAAGAGTTCAGCGCCAGCATTCTTACGCCGTGTTCCCCTACAATTCGAACGGCCAGACTTTGCAAATCCCAGACCATCAGCTTGCCGTCGAGGCTCCCCGTTGCGGCAAGCGGTAGCCTGCAGAAGACGAGGAGGCGGTTCAGAGAAGCCCCCAAGAACCCAAGGAACTCGTCCTGGTCTTGCAATACTAGCTTGAGTGGGATCTTTACTTGCCTTCCGGTCTCCGCTTAGTCAGGATTCCATGTAAACGAAGGCTTCCTGGGACGAACGGCCCGTGGTCTGCTGTACACAGACAGGGGCTTTCCAGACCGAGACAACGGCTGACCATGTTCTTCAGGGCGGGAAAGCAAAAGCAGTGCGTTTTACCAAATCAAGCAGAGACCCAGACGGCAAAGCGCGGCCTCAAGGCTGCTGCACCGTTTGGGCACACACTTTGCTTCGAGTTGCGTCAGGGACGCATAATCAACAGGTTTTTGGACTGCCGTTCCGCCGTCGAAATGCGGTTTTGAATGAGCGCCTGTAAGAATAGCCTTACTACAACCAGAGTCTGGCAGAGACAAATACTTGACCGTTGCAGGGAACGCTGCTCTCACCCGGGGCACAAACCGACCGTCTCCACGGAGTTTCCATGCCCCTCCAAAGTCCCTAGAACCTGCAAGAAGCCCGTGCGAACACGCGTCACCATAAGCGTGCTTCTTGGAACCGCTCTAGGTTGACACCCTCTTCATGGGCATGATTAGAGCAGTTTTGCTTGTGACGTTCGTTTACCCCACCCTTTTTGTGCAGAGTGAACCAGAACAACTTCGATCGTGGCTTGAGACCGGAGCACCTCGAATAAAAACACAGAACGATTCTTCTATCTGGTACGGCAGCCCGAATTCTCACGTGCAACTGCCTCACCCGCTCAACTTTTCGGCATCTTGTGATGTCAGTCAAAACCCCATTTTAGACCAAGTCAGAAACAAGCTTTTCTTGAATCACGACCAGACCTTTCCAAACCCTTACCTTTCCGTTTTGCAAGTGTACCAGCCGCGCAGTCTTGTCCGTCGATCCCGTGATCGCGATGGCGGAATCCGCTGACACGTGGAGGCTTGTCAGGCCTTCCTCGTGGAACGGGTGGCCCTGGAAAGCCGCCACGCACTTTCCGCTCTTGGGCGACCACACGCGCAGGCTGCCGTCCGCGGAACCCGTCACTATTGACTTGCCTGGAAAAAACAAAAAAGCAGTTTCTGAGTCTGCAAATCGAGTGGCGGCGATGGCAGAGCACAACTGTATTGAGTCATCTGATGCAACACAAGTGGGCTGCCGTCCGCGGAACCCGTCACTATTGACTTGCCTGGAAAAAAGCGAAAGTGGGTTTTCGAAACCGCCCGCCAGAGAAGTCGTGTCTATTTGCAAGGAGCTTTTGAAGGGCTTTAAGATACATCGAACTACAATTGGCCTGCCGTCTGCGGATCCCGTCACCATTGACTTGCCAGGAAAAGTCGAGCACGTTGTAGCAGGTGTGAATAAGCGCCTCACCGTCAGGTGTGAATTGGCCGCAGGTGACGGCCCCGTTGTGCCCCGCCAGCACTTGCATGTTGGCGCCCGTGTCCGCGTTCCACATCCACGTGGTGAAATCCTCCGACCCGGCCAGGACCACGTGGCCTCGTGGGTGCCAGCTCACCCACTGTAAAAGGACAGCCGAAAGACGCTGTCAGAGTGTCTCTTGATTTCGTGCCTCTTGATCCCGTGTCTCTTGATTCCGTGTCTCTTGACACGCTGTCAGGAAGCGCGTCTTGATTATGTCGGTGAGACAAGGTAGTTGAGCATCTTTTCGTAAACGACTTTGTGAAGTCGTCCGACCCGGCCAAGATCACGTGGCCTCGTGGGTGCCAGCTCCCCCACTGCGGAAAAATGGGTGCTCACTTAATGGGAGGTCGCTTTGACTCAGCTTGCTAAGTTTTTGATCTGCTCACTGTCAAAAACGGGGTGCGCATATTTGGGCTTGGCCGGCACAGTCGGACTTTCGGCCTGTCCAGAATGTCGCCTTGTTTGGGGTCTCTGATGTCGTTGCTGAAAGAGACTGCGATCAAGCGGTGGAGTGAAAATGGTCGAAAGAGACGATCCCGGCAGGAAAGGAGAGCGCCTGGTGGCACTCCTCGGAAGCGGAGAGACGGGCCGCGTCCTGTGGCTTTCGTCGCACACTTTATGAGAGGACCAGAACCTAGCTCTTGGAAACAGGAGAGTGATTCTGGACATATGCAACCAAAGACGTTTGATTTAGAAGTTTTCGACCCTGCCCACTTACTACAACAGTTGCATGCTGGAAGTTCTTGCACTTAGCAGGAACAGATCGGGCTAGAAGCTACCACACACTTTCGGATCCGGAGCAAGACATATGCCAAGGCGCAGATGCGCAGTCTGACTTGGACGACGGGCCCCGTCACTGAAACAGACGTCTAGAACGCCCCACGTTTCTTGCTCAACAAAAATTCGAACTTAGAACACTGTTCGAAAATATAAGCAAAAACTAGCAGTTTCTCACCTCGATCGCATCCCCCGGCCCCTCCAGCTTATGCTTCTCTTCTCCTGTGTTGGCGTCCCACACAAAGACGAGCCCGTCCAGGCCCCCGGTCGCAAGAAGGGCGCCGTCGTTGCTGAAAGCTAGACTTGCCACCGAGTCGGTGTGTCCTGAACAGTGAACACTAAGTTGTGAATATGAACGGGGTATTGGGGTCAACCCATTCCTGATGGGTTAGGTCGTTCACGGGAGATGTCGAGTATTGAGGCCTACCAAATTGAGTATCTCCGGAGAGAACCCCAGCATCGGGGCTTGCAATTTTAGCACCACGAAAAGGTTTGACGCAGCAATGACGTATCTAACAGAAGGTGGTAGATGGGACATTATTTGCAGCAGTTTTCTTTTGTTGAGTCGGTGGTAACCGGGACTCAACTTCGAACAACCCAAGCAGACCCACCGGGCAGGGACGCAGTCCATGACAGATCGATGCGAAGAGGTTGTGGGTTTCCGGGTTCAGATTCCTTGGGCAGCGGCCTTGAAAAAGACAATTTCTTAATCTGACAGTTCCTACAGATTTTGATCACATGTCAGCCTGACCAACATGCTTGCACTCGGCTCGAGCAACACACAATTGGGCTCTTGAGTCGGCTTGACTCTCTAACATGGCCTTTTAAGAAAAGACAGGTGCTATGCCACAATCAACCAACAATTACAAATAGACCCATCTCGGTGCAGACGAGGTTTAAAGTGGGCGTCTGCACTCGCGAGTGCACCTGGACATCGGACGGTTTAAACGTCCGAATTGAATCTATCGGACGGCTCAGAGTTGGCCTTCTCGAGGCTCTCCTCAGGACTCAGACTCACTAGTGTGCATTTCCCGGCTTTGGAATTTGACGCCCACTTTAACCGCAGAGCGAGAGGAGACACAAGGGGCTTCTCACCTTTCAGTTGGATCGGCTCCTCCTCTACTTGCCCTATCCGCCACAGGAATGCGCTGTCGTCCCCACCTCCAGTCGCCACCAGACCCATCGATTGGCCGCTTGCCGCCACAGCGTATACCGATTCTGTGGGGCGAGGGGAGACCGTTACAGATGTTCAAAACTGACTTCTTACTCCCCCACGATCTTTGTTGTCACCCGAGTGGCTATCCTTGGATCGGGGGAAGCAATTGGGAGGAGATTATTGTTTTTCTGGGCCACAGGAGACACGCATTACAAAGCCCCGAAAGCATAGTTGTCACACCGGGGTTTCCATTCCCAGCCCCATCAAAAGACAGGCAACCCTGTACGCAACAAACCTGACGCACGGGGCTTGAGAAGGCATTAGGTCTGCCTTCGATTTTTAAAAAGTGTTCGGTCCAATGAATACGAACGAATTTCGGTACCCGGGCCGCGGGCCCGATGCTTGGCTACCATGGACAAATCGCAGGACCTCAATACGTCCATTAGAGATTGATCAAAGGCTACTTTCGACTCCCAACACTCTGCCTAGGAATATCACCCATGAAACGTGCACTTTCCTTCAGTTGTTTACTTCCCAAGCGACTCCAATTCAAGCGTCAATGACTGCTGTGCACCTCACCGTGGTGTCCTGAGAAGACGTGCACTGCATCGTCCGCGCCCTCCTCTTCCTCCTCTTCTGGCTCCCCTTCTTCTAAGTTGAGGTCCATGATCGCTTCATCTCGGTCCTCATCGTCGTGCAAGGGCACTCCCTCTTCGTGGTCTTCGTCTTCCATCGGACTCGACCCTAAAAGCGAAGGAGACCTCTCAATCTGAGTGTTTGCGAACCGACCTCCTCGTTGGACAAAAGCTACACTATTATTGATCAGGATAGAGTGGTGGGAGTGGGACACGTCTGGTCTTCAGAGTTAAGGGGTCAAAGGACCAAGAGATGTGATTGAGGAAAATCTGGAAACCTTGCGCAGACACTCATTCATTTTTTGGGGGGCATCTGGTCCAAAATGGTACTGACAACAAAGCGAGGTCAGGCATGGTGGCTCTTAAGAGCCATATGAGGTACTGAGTAGACGTACTTCCCTTACGGGGGACATCCTTGAAGTGTTTCGCCCTCCTTGCATCCCCCTCCTGTCTTTTGTCTTCCCAACCGAAAAATAACTGGTACCCAGTGCTTCAAACAATCGCAAGACTTACAGATAGAGGGAATACTTTTGAGGGGTTCTGGTTATTCAGTACCTGACGGTGGGCTGCCATCGGCCATTGCAGAAGCACCGGAATCTACTGGAAAGTGTTCGTGCTCCCCCCTTCTAGGCCTGCCAAAAGACCACAAACGAAGATAACAATTGGTCAATGAAAAACAATTCGGCGTTCCTTGGCTTTGATTGAAGTCCCGACAACCTCACATGTTTGCACCATCAGAGAAGACTGGAAAGGCAGCATGCATTGGTGGCAAGAAGGGAGGTACAGTCAATGCTTCCCCTTACCACGTAGATCACGATAATTAATCGTGTAAACACATACAGCAACGGTTGGAAACAAAACCAAAGCGAAAAGCGGGAATGCGCTATTCGCTTACTTTCACCACTTATCACCGGAGAATTTGTCCACACAGGCACTGCGTATGGCCAATGAGAATGACGAGAATTTCAACGGGCCGGGGATAATACCAGAACTGCGTTTTACTGCAGTCGAGAATCCATTGACCTCCTCTTAGTCCAGCTGGCTTGGGATGCCTATCTGTCTGATGTGCTAGGACGAACCACCCGCATGCATCTTCAAGCCCAGTTGATTCCCAAGCACGGGCCACACACATAGCTTTATGGCAGTTTTCATCTACAACGCAGCCTTTTCACAAACAACCAGCAGTCTCACCAACTTGAAAAAGTTGCATATTCATGGATCCCAAGAACCAGTGCGAAGTTTGCAAGTGACGTGATTCAAACAGGTGGAGAAAAGCACACCACCCAAGCGGCCACCTACACCACTGCCCCTATCGACACTAGCGCACTTTGTAGATATTGAAAGCAACAGAACTTGAACACGAATGGAAGGACCAGGAAGCAAGGCTGATGATGATCTTACTCTAGGCCACTGTCTTCCTCCATTGCCTTTGCCCACAATGGTGGTGTTATATCTACTTTGTCCAGTTACCACAAATGCAAGGCTTCCTACTCTGATACTTTCACAACAGCCCGCTTGGCAACGGCCTTCCTGTCTCAGTGGCCTTCTGGAGTTGCTACTAAAATTCTTGGCCGCCACCACGTCTGCAACTTGCAAGGTCCAAATGGCAAGACGGCGTCGGCATTCAATTTGGAAGCAGTGCCAGAACTTGGAGAAGCATTGCCATTGGAAGTGTCCAGCCCCCGAAGTTGCAGCTGGAAGGTCAAGTCCTCAGGGGGGTCGAACCGAGGGAAATCGAACCCCCCATAACGGTTGGAATCCGCTGAGGGGTTCAACTGTGAGGCCTATTGAATCCCCCGAAAAAGTAATTCTATTTTGCATTCGTCGTCCTCTGCTCTTCCAGATTGAGCTCGTTCCAGCTTGAAACTTCCTGAGGCTGCAGCAGCAAAGGCCTTCGAAATCTGAACAGGATCACAAGGTGCAAAGCGTCTCTTCTGGCTTTCTTGCCACCAGCTTCACAAGGCGGCGTTGCTGTAAGTCTGCCGTCATTTCCTAGCCCCCTGCTGCCTCTGTCGGCGCTCAAGTAGTCGCAGGAGTATGCCCTGCTATCCGCTCAGTGCCAGAACAAACAGGAGCGGTTGACAATTTCTCAACGTTGATTATTGAAATAGGATCCCGATCGTGGACGACTTTCTGCAGATATTGGTTGGGAGGGGCAGGATCACCAAGCTGCTCTTCTCAGTTCAACTTTGATTGCTGATAAAAGTTGGCCTAGAACAAGATACCACATTTGATTAGTGGGAAGGTTTGCGCAATGTCAGGCGGTTGGGTGGCCGAGCAGGCCAACCGGCCGCGAGTGGTCTATGAGGAGCGTACCACAGATGTGAGGGGAAGAGCCAGAAAGAAGGCAGAGCTGAAGAAACTAGATGCAGAACTAAGAAATCTGAAGGTAAGTTGTTGACACATTTTCTCGTAAAAATGGTAAGGTCCAGGAGACTCGCTTTACATGTTGCAATTTCCAAATGTGTCGTACCCGCATGAAAGGGAGTGCTTGATCACAGCAGGAGAATTGCAGATTGAGGTCTTTGTAAGTGAGTCCGTCGATGTGTGTTTGAAATGTCGCTAGTGTCTGCCAGCTTGTTTGTCTATATGGTCAACCGAAGGAGTGTGTTCAAATCTAAATGATCTACAGCACCCACGCAACAATGAGGCCACAAATGCAAATGTTCAGGGCTTTAAAACTCTGCTGAATTCTTATTATGATAACTTTCAGCTTCCATTCGCCTGATCTATGTGGCTCCCCAAGGAGATCAGAAATGCAGTCATGCAATGAAAACTTAGGTCCTTCGCTCTTCGATGTCTTCCTCGTCATTTCATTTAGAACACGTAGGATCAGAAGCTTCGTTTTTGCAATCGCTCATCAAAGAGGGCTCGTCTCTGGTCGCAATTCAAGACCCTGCTGAGCAAGTGATTTGCCAGGCGGACCCTGGCAATTTGGTGTCTCCATTGTTGAGCTTAGGAAGGCTTGCCATCTTTCAGACAGGACCAAATCACGAGTTTGTGAGTAGAGTCAAAGGAAGTTTATTTAATTACTGAGGTTTCTTCTTTTTTAGTACTTTGACGATGAAACATGCCTGCCACAGGGTAGTTTGACTGGCTGGTAAAATCTTTCAGATGTAAGGTTCTACTTTCCTTGCTCATGAAAGGGGAAGAGTGGGTGGCTGGCCCCGAGCAAAAGCAATCCTTGATATACTGTGTTGCATTGCGCGTTAGTCCTTCTTACTTCGTGTTTTAGTTTGATAGTAACCAGAAGTATTGATAAATGACCTAACGAAGGCTCTCGGAAAGAAGGAGGTTGGTGAGTGTGGTCGGATGAACTCTAATCCTCCTTTCCCATCTGCAGGATGAGTTGGACCACCTCTCGCAATTACCGCCCGCCACCGATGCCTGCAAACAGTAAGCCAAGTGTCTACTTCTGTCCATCATCCTACAAACAGATGGTTCCTTCACAAAGAGCTCCCCATGCCAATGTTTCTTCAATCCTGTGTCTTTTTCTTTTTCTGGTCAAATCATAGCGATCGAGCAGGAAGCATCCCTTCAATATGGTAGTGCTTCCTCTTCAAGTTTCTCACGTCGCTGTTGCTTACAGGCTTCTCACCCATTTCCACACGTACCCAGATCCCTTCCTCGACAGGTAAGCCACCGACAGCATTGCTGGTCATGGATGATCACGTCCTACGTAGCAATTTCATGCTTGTTCCACGACTTATTGAAAGAGGAAGTTTCATTCACCCTCATGTTTCACACCGATTGTCGTTGGGGTCTCCTGGACTTCCTTTCTCGGTTTTTGTGTTCTCGTGTTGCTCGAAGGTTGTCAGCCTCAATAATCTAGGAGTAGGTTTGGTTGCAAATTCTCGTTTCAAATCAGAGACGGTTGGAGCGTCATCTTTTCACCATTCATGAGTTTCAGGAACGTGAATGCCCTTTGCATGAGCGCCTCCTATGATTGGGCCGTTCTGCTTAGCGGTTGCAGCAAGGTTCAAAATCGTACTTTTCTCGTCGACAGTGTCCGTTGGACTGGACCGTATGAATTTCTGTGTCTTTGGTCAGGACGTTGTTCGACCTTACTCTCGTTTGAAGATTTTATTTAGGCCTAGCTGTGGACTTTCAGATAGACCAAGTCGAGTCTTCTGAGCAGCTTTCTGCCTGCTCGTATCCTGCTCAACCCATCTTCTGCGTTTGACTAGTCGGATGCCGGTTCTGTGCTTTTTGAACGGTATGGTTTTCTGCCTTCTGCAGTTTCGACTTTGAATCCAAGCCCAACCGGTGGGTGGCGGCGCCCAAACGAGGCGTCATCAAAAAGGCGACTATGTGTGGCTGCGGAGGGTAGTAACCTCGTGCAAGGACCCAGAGTGAGGTTTTGTCACCACTAGAGCTGCCAATGAGCCCAGTCGAGGTCTGGTATCGTGTGCTTAGACTTCCAATTTCCAGAGCAAGCCGGCCGAGTATATTGTCTTGGTTTATGAAAAAAAGAATTCATACTACAAAAGTTGCATCATGTCGTTCGAGTGTCTGACGAATCCAATAGACCCGCTGGCACTAGAGCCTGAAGTTGGGTACTAACTTCTGAAAGCATGCCTGCCAGCACTTCTTGTTGACGCAATTTGCGGTGTGCCGAAGTCAGTGTATTACAGGGCCTGAAAAACACACAGCGCGCCGGCCACTGTCCTAGCTCGGCCCAGTAAGTTTTTCAACTTGCGCTTACAAATACGTATGATTAAGGTCACTGACTCGGTACAGCCTAGAATCCAACATGCCCTTTAATAGCTCGCGGGTTCGCCATGTACGGCTTGCACAATCGCACGTTTATAGTACATGCGATGGTGATCAGATTTATCTTTGCACGCCAACTTATCATTCAGAGCCGAGCAGTACCTGATCCTAGTACGCTTGTCTTTAAAGCTGCAACGCAGTGAGTAATTAAACATGCATGACTCAATTCGCGTATAGTACGTATATTTATGCATTGTATACATCATGCAAATTTGACTGCTTGACTAGCTTCAATTTTATAATTATCCATGTGCGAATAATATCACTTTTAAGTTGAGCAATATACCTAGCTGACACGTATGTACTGAGATACGGTGGTTTGTATTAAAGCTTAAGCGCATACAGGTGCACAAGCAGACTCAAGTCGCATTATGATTGCTGCGCATGTACGTGCAGCTCCAGCTTGGCATGCCTCTTCCGCATATAGCTTCCATGAGGGGTCAGCATGGTTGATATTGCTAAATTGTGAAAATAGATGCACGATCCGCTAATGCAAAGAGTTGAGTAGAATTGATATGTTAACTTTATTGCTCCAATCGAAGGTTCCGCTAAGAAACTAGTCAGCTACCTAGCGATTTGTAGTTTGCTCATGTGGAAAGTCACTCACAATCGGCAAACTCTCATAGTCAGGTCCCACAGTCCACTATATGCACAATGTATTTAATCAGGTCGGTTGGATGCAAAGGTGCTTGATCAACCTGATTTGAAAAGAAGTACTGCCACTTGGCCTAAGTAGAAATATATGAAGTGCTTCGTTTCATGAGTAACATATGAACCTGCAAGTGCAACCAAAAAGAAACACTTTTTAGATGCCTTTGTTTATGAGGCTGGGAATGACAACCAAGTTGTTATGACCAGGTTGAAGCAAAGGAAAAGGGTAGGAATCACATGCTAGCTATCTAAGAATGCACGTTGAAGACAATCCCCAACATGCCAAGTTCAGCTTGCAGAAGACTTAAGGCCTTACCAAAGTTCCTTCCAACGATGCAGTGCCATGTGGGGTTGTACTTCTTGTCAAACTCCTTCTTGATGTATGCAGCAATATCCTTTTCTACATTGTACTTCTCCAACGCCTGCAAGCAAATATGCACAAAGTGAGGAAGGGCTAAGCATACGAGAATTGGTAAAGATGCTGCTATCCATGAGCTCGGGGGAAAATCGAAGAAGAAGCAACCAGCTTTCATCATATAATTTCTCTCGTCACACTTGTACGATTGGGCAGAGACAAGGTTACTGCACCTCCTTTCACTGCAATGTTCTGCTTGTCAAAGACCGCTTATTGGTTCCACCACTGCTAAAGGAACATTGAAAAAACTTCTAGAAGTGTCATCCAAGACAAGGGGCCATTCCAGGAACTGAGGAGGCACTGATTGTTGAGGCACTGATTGATGAGCTGATTCCGAAGGCCACTGGTTTTTACAAACTGTCCCGATAATTTAGTCTTCAGCCTCTCCAGCCTGCCTGTCATAGTTAGAGAAGAGTGAAACATTCACCAGTCACGAGTTCTGAAACCTGCCCAAAACAAAAATGGACATCCTGATGACAAGAGTACAGATTTGAAACAAGTACCAACTACAATCAGCTGCAGTTTCCAGACAGGACACTGCGGCAGCATATCAAGCAGTCTGTAAGCTGCTGCACACGCAGAGGAACTCCGACCCAAGAAGGCATGGGGGCAACCAGAGACCAGATTTCGCAACCAGCATACAGGTTGCGACAGCACATGCTTAGAAACACAATATTGACTAAATCAAACAAAGCCACTCTTGTAGACGCGATCGTTCCTATGAGGTGGGATGAAGTACCTAAACCCTAACCATCGGAAACTGAGAACCCTAACAAGCAGAGTAGGCTTTCATCATAAGAGGAGAGGCCATCAAGCTGATCAAGCTGATCTATTCATCAAATAAGCAGAAATATCCACGGTTGCAAGATCCTCCAGCAAAGTCCTCCACTAAGTGAATCAGAACCCTATTACCGTAAGTAGACAAGAGGATGCTTGCTCATCACCTAATCAATGCACACATGAAAAAGGAGCTTAGGCAGTCCGCGCTGTTTCTGTTCATGAACAAGATTTGTGTTCTTAGTAGAAAGGACAGAAGCATGTGGCTACTGCTTGCACAGCAACCGGCCCGTTTTTTGCTGCCATCCAAGTGTACATTAAGTCAGACACTTGGGAAAAGAGGGACCCAACCACGATTGCCAAAGGAAAGCTCCATCATTTGCAGGATACAATCAACAAGATGAGTGAAACACTTCAGCTGGCCCGATTGGTTGAAAGATTGCTTCCTCTCACCTGGGTAGCACAATCAATGGCATCCTGCTGCACCTCTTCCGTCATGTCTGCATTCTTAATGACTGCCTTCCGCTCCGACATGGTGTCTGCTTATTCGAGCCCTGCTTCTTTGAATTATGTGCTGCCGCAAGCAGCAGGCACCACAAGACACCAGACGTATATCCAAATATTGTGACACTGCCCTTGGAAGCGGTTCGCAACGCCTTACAGTAGTCTTTGTTTCACAAGACCAGACAAATCAACAGCGGCGAAAGAAGGCAAGAATCGTTTCGATGATAGGTACGCCGTAGGCTCCGGTCGCTTGACCTTCTGTCCGCTGAGCGAGAAATTGCAACAACATGCAGCTGGAACAGCTTGCAAGCTCCAGACAGACAATTGACTTCATCATTATTCATGAATGAAGAAGCAGCATGCCATTGCCAGACCCGCGCGCAGGACTCAGGAAGCGACGTCCAGAACACCTTCTTTCGTCCCGGGCAGTTTAGGTGTTGGTTTTAGCCGCGAGGTTCCAATTCTGCGCAGAGTCCCGAGCCTTGACTCCTGAGTCTTGACCACTTTTGTTGTGGTCTACTTAATACCGGTCAGTAGCAAACTCCTGAGAAAGGTGCCCGGGTGGAAAGCGCCTGACAAAAATGCATCCGTCTTCGCAGTCCGTCGATATCCCGGCCTCAGCTTGTGCGCGCGCGACTTTTGAAAGATAACCGTTTTGTGCAACCGCCATCATCCCTGCAGATGTGCGCGCCGCGCCACGCGACCGCGAGGAAGTCGTGAACCAGGTACGGTACTTACCTAGGCAGTAGGTAGTCACGTACCTACCTATGGAGATACGAAAGTAGGTACCAACGGGTACCATGTAGTAGGTACATACCGGTAACAGACCACGATATACCGGTGTGCCGGCACGTGAGTCCTGACGAACTAGGTCTCATG